TTCTTGTAGAAATAGATAAAGCAATCATGAAATTCATATGGAAAAATAAAAGACCCAGAATAGCAAAAGCAATTCTAAGCAGGAAGTGTGAATCAGGTGGTATAGCGATACCGGATTTAAAACTATATTACAGAGCAATAGTAACAAAAACAGCATGGTACTGGTACCAAAACAGGCGGGTGGACCAATGGTACAGAATAGAGGACACAGAGACTAATCCACAAAGCTACAACTATCTTATATTTGATAAAGGAGCTAAAAGCATGCAATGGAGGAAGGATAGCATCTTCAACAAATGGTGTTGGGAAAACTGGAAATCCATATGCAACAAAATGAAACTGAATCCCCTCCTCTCGCCATGCACAAAAGTTAACTCAAAGTGGATCAAGGAGCTAGATATCAAATCAGAGACTCTATGTCTGATAGAAGAAAAAGTTGGCTCCGATCTACATATTGTGGGGTCGGGCTCCAAATTCCTTAATAGGACACCCATAGCACAAAAGTTAATAACAAGAATCAACAAATGGGACTTACTTAAACTAAAAAGTTTTTTCTCAGCAAGAGAAACAATAAGAGAGGTAAATAGGGAGCCTACATCATGGGAACAAATTTTTACTCCTCACACTTCAGATAGAGCCCTAATATCCAGAGTATACAAAGAACTCAAAAAATTAAACAATAAGAAAACAAATAACCCAATCAACAAATGGGCCAAAGACCTGAACAGACACTTCTCAGAGGAGGACATACAATCAATCAACAAGTACATGAAAAAATGCTCACCATCACTAGCAGTCAGAGAAATGCAAATCAAAACCACCCTAAGATACCATCTCACTCCAGTAAGATTGGCAGCCATTATGAAGTCAAACAACAACAAGTGCTGGCGAGGATGTGGGGAAAAGGGTACTCTTGTACATTGCTGGTGGGACTGCAAACTGGTGCGGCCAATTTGGAAAGCAGTATGGAGATTCCTGGGAAAGCTGGGAATGGAACCACCATTTGACCCAGCTATTGCCCTTCTCGGACTATTCCCTGAAGACCTTAAAAGAGCGTACTACAGGGATACTGCCACATCGATGTTCATAGCAGCACAATTCACAATCGCTAGACTGTGGAACCAACCCAGATGCCCTTCAATAGATGAATGGATAAAAAAAATGTGACATTTATACACAATGGAGTATTATACAGCACTAAAAATGACAAAATCATGGAATTTGCAGGGAAATGGATGGCACTAGAGCAGATTATGCTTAGTGAAGCTAGCCAATCCCTAAAAAACAAATACCAAATGTCTTCTTTGATATAATGAGAGCAACTAAGAACAAAGCAGGGAGGAAGAGCAGGAAGAAAAGATTAACATTAAACAGATACATGAGGTGGGAGGGAAAGGGAGAGAAAAGGGAAATTGCATGGTAATGGAGGGAGATCCTCATTGTTATACAAAATTACATATAAGAGGTTGTGAGGGGAATGGGAAAATAAACAAGGAAAGAAATGAATTACAGTAGATGGGGTAGAGAGAGAAGATGGGAGGGGAGGGGAGGGGAGATAGTAGAGGATAGGAAAGGTAGCAGAATACAACAGTTACTAATAGGGCATTATGTAAAAATGTGGATGTGTAACCGACGTGATTCTGCAATCTGTATTTGGGGTAAAATTGGGAGTTCAAAACCCACTTGAATCAAATGTATGAAATATGATATGTCAAGAGCTTTGTAATGTTTTGAACAACCAATAAAAAAAAAAGTCTGAGCATCTTAGAGGTGAAGATCTGTGGTTTGTTTGTTTCGGGAATCTTTGAAAATGAATCAGGGCTGTTAAGATTTTCCAGAAGATTAAAAAGATAGGGCAGAGGGGTGAGAGGGGAAGGGAGGGAGTATGGGGTTATTAATGATGGTGGAATGTGGTGGACATTATTCCAAAGTACATGTATAAAGACACGAATTGGTGTGAATATATTTTGTATACAACCAGAGATATGAAAAATTGTGCCCTATATGTGTAATAAGAGTTGTAATTCATTCTGTTGTCATATATAAATAAAAATATTAATAAAAAATTTACTTGCATGTAAAAAACATGCAAAATATTATTATATGTTTTGCATGCTGAAGCATGGTCCTATGGAGATTACTTTTAAAAGAGAAGAAAATTTAGCCTAAAGGAATTAAATGATTAGTTCATCATTAAATCCCTTTAGTGTATTCATATCAAAGACATCAAATGGACCATAGATGCATGGAGGGTTAATCAGGAAGGACTTGAGTCTGATGTCCTTAAGTGACAACAGAAGTTTGCCTGTGTAAGAACTAGAGTAATAGCAGTGACCAATGTCCTTTTAAAATTACACAAGCAGACAGGATTGCTTCATTTGAAAATAATAACACAGGATAAATGTGTCTCTCCTGAATAGTTAGAACAGAATAATACCAAACATTTCCAAAATAATTCAGAAGAGATGTATTAGTGTTATTGTAGCCATTTTTCCTTTAAAAAAACCTGAAGTTTAAAGTAAGTTCTAGAAGAAAAGATTATTGACAATGTTGCTTCAGACACTTAAAATAATAAGCCATGGTAAAACAACTATCTTAGCTCCTGCCAAAACATTCTCACTTCTTTGTGGTCAAACTTATCTACCCTGACTGCTTCAACCAACAGTTTTAAAACACAATTATGGGTTAAATAAATATTTTTCAAATAATTGATATGAGAAATTTATCAAATTGAATATTTTTTTCTGATAGAACACATTGTATGATAAAAGAGCCAAACCAGAATCTCCTCCATTCTGTGTGGTATAGAGCCATTGCATGCCAATGGCCTTTATCTTGGCAGTTAGTAATCATTTACTCTCCATGTGATTTAGCAGACAGCTTGTCAACTTTCATGAAAAATCCTGTTGAGAGTTTCATTAGAATTCCATTTAGTTCATAGCCAATTTTGGAGGAGAATTGCTATCTTTATAATACTGTCTTATTTTATACAGAAATTATGTTTTATTTTCATTTATTTATGACTTCTTTAATGATCTTTAGTAATATTCAGTAATTTTATAAGGAGTAAGTTTGTTGTAGTCCATATTTTATGCATTATTTAGAAAAGTATATGATTTCTATTTCAATTTCACTTTTAATCATGTTGTATGGAAATTATTTCATTTTACATATTAATATTTTATGTAGTAACTTTAATGAACTTTTATTTCTAAAAAAAGACACAAGTTGGTGTGAATATACTTTGTATACAAGAGATATGAAAAATTATGCTCTATATGAGTAGTAAGAATTGTAAAGCATTCTGCTGTCATATATAAATTAAAAATTAATAAAAACACACAAAAGAATAATTAAATAAAATACATAAAATTTTAAAAAAATCAGCGTGAGCCAGGAATGGTGGTGCACACCTATAATCCCAGCTGCTCTGGAAGCTGAGGTAGGAGAATCACAAGTTCAGCCTCAGCAACTCAGTGAGGCCCTAAGCAAGTTAACAAGATCTTGTCACAAAATAAAAAATAAAAAGGGCTGAAGGAGGCTGGGGTTGTGGCTCAGCGGTAGAGCACTTGCCTAGCATGTGTGAGGCACTGGGTTCGATTCTCAGCACCACATATACAAATAAATAAAATAAAGGTCCATTGACAACTAAAAAATATATTTAAAAAATCAGTGTAATTTGAATCAAATGTAGCTCCCCCAACCCAACAATAGCAGTTGGGTAATCAATAACAAAATTAAAGGATATATATTTAATTAGGCAGTATAGGGTGACAATGAAAGTAGTAAGATTTCACTCCTGTCCACAACATTGCAGTCTCATCAGATTAGAAGATGATGCATTGTATCAGTTCATATGCATTTTCTCTTTTACAGTTCTGAAACAGATCTTCTCTAAAGGAAATTCTTGTTCTTCACAAGTTCTTTTAGACTAAGGTGGAAAAAAATTCAAAGTTGGGTTTGGACCTCTCCAGAGATGAGAGTACTATATTTTATGGGGGAAAAAAAGGAAAGAAAAAAATACTGTGAATCCTTACTCAAATTCGAGTAATCCTTACCCGAATCTTACCCCACCACTCGAATCCTTACTCATTCTTAGTGGTGGGGCAAGATGCAGGGGCCATATGCAATGACTTCTGTCCATTCACATTTCCAGTTGGTTTTGATTCTACCCATCCATGATGCTTCTACAAGGCTGGGAACTGGACCACCCCAAACCACTAGATGAGGGTTCCATTCATCACATGTGGGTGTCTCAACAGGTCTCTGTTAGCAGGAAGTCCACTGATATTTATTGCTGCAAAGCCCTGGGGCTTGATTCTGTGGGAAAGAGTCAGCATCGGTCACATCGTCAGTGGCTGTGGGGGACAAACCACGTGTACACACCATCATAGATGATGTCCACATTTGAGTGACAGGCCGGGAACTTGAGGGACCTGGGCAATGTTGATATTCGTCCTGGCCTTGCAGGGCGGCTGCCTGATGACTGGCGCAGGGGTGAGCTCAGCGTGCACACTGCGCATGTCAGCAGTTTACCCTAGCCACCCAGCTGAAGTCGCTGCACTCGATGAAAGTTTGCTTTCCAAAATTCTTCCCCCATTCCCTTGGCTCAAAATGAAGTCTGTCACTGGAAATTAAATTGACTTGAATTTGTGTTTAAAGCCAGTTGGGGGCTTGGGACATTAGCCATGAAACAAAGAAATTCACTTGTGAAAACCCCATTTGCAGCTGGCACTAATCATTTTGCTGTTGTGACAGGACTTGACAGCACTGAGTTCAGGTGAGATTAGTAGGCAGACTGGGACATGTTGGCTTTTCAAGATGTCAGACATGAGCCCATGCAAGGTGCTCTCTCTGGTCTGCCTTTATCCTCTGCTTTAGGCAGTTGAGGCTCTGAGTCGCTAATTCCAAAGACTTCCAGTTGCCATTGGCCTGTGCTGGTTCTCCCCAAGTGGGACTGCCTCCTGCTCTTACTAATGGTCCCACCCTGCTCTCTCCTAGTGCATCCACTCTGGGAGAGTGTGGACCTGCTTCCTGGGGGTGATCGACAGTCACCCATCAATATCCGGTGGAAGGATAGTGTTTATGATCCTGGCTTAAAACCCCTCACTATCTCTTATGACCCGGCCACCTGCCTCCACATCTGGAATAATGGGTACTCTTTCCTTGTGGAATTTGAAGATTCTACAGACAAATCAGGTAAGAACAAGGTATCAACATCAGACACATCACACTGTTTCTGTGACAGTGTTGACTTCTTTGTTAGCAAAGGAACTCATTGATATTACTTTTTAAATGTATAAAAAACTTCCTTCTAGTTTTTATTCAAATTTTCTCTGATTAGTATAAGTAACATTTTTATTACTAAATATATATATATATATATATATATATATATATATATATATATATATATATATAATTCCTATAGAAAAGAGGATGTGAAAATGAAACTCTACCAGAAGTTTATTTGTTTTTTTTTTTTTGTCTTTTTTTTATTGGTTGTTCAAAACATTACAAAGCTCTTTGAATATGTACTTTTTTTCCTGCTTGCTGACTTTACATGAACTATTACACAAAACAGTAATATTATTAATAATATTTAAATTGTCAGATTGTGGTGCTGGTGATCAAACCCAGGGCCTTGTGCATGCTAGACAAGAATTCTACCTCTGAGCTACATCCCTAGTCTGTCCTTAAAGGCTTAGGTGTCTCCACATCCCCATTTTCTGCTTTCTCTCCATGGTATGACATGGTACCAAAACCCTGAGTACCTTACTTAACATATCTCAAACTAAGAAGAATTGCTCATTTTTTCCCCTAGATTCATGGGCTTCTTTCTTAATTTTTCCAAAACACTGGAGTGTGCCCTCATCTTAACTAGAAACCTATAATATTATCCTGTGTATAAGAATTCCAGAAATCCTTAAAACAGCAAGCTAAATTTCCATGTTCCAGATGACTATTCTGTACTCTGGCAAGCTTGACTTGTTTCCCTTGGAACTCTTAACATTACCCCTGCCAGACCTAAACTAATTGTGTTGTAGTTTGGATGTGAGGTATCCTCCAAAAGCCAAGTGTGAGGCAATGCAAGAAGGTTCAGAGGAGAAATGATTGGGTTGTGAGAGCCTTATCCCAATCAGTGAATTAATCCCCTGATGGGATTAACTGAGTGATAACAGAAGGAGGGTAGAGTGTGGCTGGAGGAGGTGGGTCATTGGGGGTGTGGCTCTGTATATTTGTATCTGGTGAGTGGAGTCTCTCTCTCTCTGCATACTGATCATCATGTGAGCTGCTTCCTCTACCACACTCTTCAGCCATGATGTTTTGCCTCACTTTGAGCCCTGAGGAATGGAGCCAGCCTTCTATGGACTAAAAACTGTGGGCCCTCAAATAAACTTTTCTTCCTCTACAATTGTGCTGCTCAGGTCTTTTAGTCACAGCAGCAAAATAGCTGACTAAAACAAATGGATAGACCCAACTATGAAGCACCAACTCTCATACGTTCATTCTGTATGCATAGTAGTTCCTTTAAGTCTCAGACCTGTCTAGGTCTGTGATAATCTTCTTTCTTTTCTTCTGAGGATCCTAGGTGTTGTTCAGCTTTTAAAGCCCTTGATAGTTTAGGGACCTTGTATTGCCAATATACCATTGCTACACCGAGTTAGAAATCTTAGGAAGTTGTTTAATGGGTTTCTTGAGAGCTTTCTAGGTAAACAGCTGTTTGTTTTATTTTTCAGTCTCTTTTTCTTTTGAATAATAGATTTAAGATTATTTTCTGTGTGTGTGGTATATGGATCAAACCCAGGGCTTCATGCATGCAAGGCAAGCACTCTAGCACTGAACTACAGCACTTTTTATTTTATTTTGAGACAGGATCTCACTAAGTTTCTCAGGCTGGTCTTGAATTTGGGATCCTCCTGTCTCTGCCTTCTGAGTAGCTGGAGTTATAGGTATGCTGCACCCAACTGATTTAAGGATTCTTATCCATCCATTTGCATGAAAAATTTCTGATGGATAACAAATGTTTTCATCATAATAGATCTTTTAAAAACCTTAGTCTTCTCTTGATCCTACCTTCCCTATGTGAAATCAATTTCATTAAAAAAATTTTTTACAAAATGTGTAAGAAAAATTGTAGAGAGTTTGATAATTTTTCACTTGTTTGGTCTGAGTGAACTAAAACTGATAGCCCCATTTTATTATGCTTTAATAATTATTTTCTATAGGACACCAGTAAGTGCCTTTCTCCATCTCTTTTTTCCTTTCAGTGACTGCCTCTTATTTCCTGCTTTTTCTTCACTACTATTTCTCCATGCAGTTGCAAAACAATCAATAGTGGGGGTGGGGAGAACAAGAAAAATATAAAAGTTAAAAAAGAAAGCAAAGACATCCTAGAAATGAAGACAAGGAAGGAACAATTCTAGAAAAGGAAGAATCTAACAAGTATCAATGTCTATGAGTTTCAAAAAAACAACAAAAACCAACAAACCAACCCTAAGAAATGTGCTACTACCGTGTGCTTTATAAAGATCTGGAATAAAGTGAAGGAAAAGGAGTCAGGAAAGGTAACAGAAGCATTATAACAAACCTTATGGAATGCGGCTAAAGCAGTGCTTCGAGGGAATTTTATAGATGAAAATGCATGTAACAGAGAAGAAGAAATTTCTCAAATCAGTAACCTAGCTTTCCACCTTAAGAAACTATAAAGAGAAGAGCAAACTAAATCCAAAGCAATGAAGAAGGACATAATAATTGAGAACAGAGCAGAAATCGATAAAATTAAAAGTTGGTTCTTTGGAAAGATCTACAGAGTTGACAAACCTTTAGTTAGGTGGACCAAAGAAAAAACAGGAGAGAGAGACAGAAAGAAAGAAGACTCAAATAACTAAAATCTGGAATGAAAGTGGGAACAACACAATCTCTCTTAGAGATATTAACAGATTTCTAAGAAGGTATGTGCATGTCTCATGTCACTCTCTTCTGATTATTGTGTTGTTATCTAGTTCCCCAGAATAGGACACAATTACTGATTTTAATAAGTGCATGTGAGAAATAAGAAAATATTATAGGGAAGGGCAATAAACTATCCCTGGGCTAACATGGTCGACCCTGTAAATTATCACCTTTCCTGAAATTCCTTTTATTGACACTCAAAAGGCATTAAATAGAAGGAAAGGAGAGGAGAGTCCCTTTGTTCTCCTCCTAAGGGTGTTTCCCGTTTCAACCTGCTTCACTCCATGCTTTTATAGGGGATCATAGGCAGGCAGTGAACCTAGTAAGAATGCTTTCATAAAAATTTTAAGTTCTCCTGCCCCATTTTTGGTTCTATATTTACTTAAAAATATAATTTTTTTTTTTTTTGGTAAATTTACAGAGTTGAGCAAACATCACTACAATCCAATTTTAGAATGTTTTCATCACCCCTAAAGAGTTTTCATGCCCACTTCCTGCACTTACTCATTTTTGTTGTTGTTTCTTTGTCTTTTTTTTTTTTTTTTTAATACCAGGGATTGAATCCAAGGGCATTTAACCACTGAGTCACATCCACAGTCCTTTTTATTTTTTATTTTATTTTTTTTATTTTGAGACAAAGTCTCACTAGATTGCTTATAGCCTCACTAATTTCTGAGGCTGACTTTGAACCTGCAATCCTCCTGCCTCAGCCTGTAGAGCTGTTGGGATTCCAAGGGTAAAAGTCCAGCCTTTTGCTTTTATTTGTATGGGTTCTGTGTGTTCCCTTTCTTTTGATCATGTCTCTGCTAGCTCCTTTTTTTTTTTTTTTTTTTTTTTGCACATTGAAATGCAAAAGAAGGAAATGAATATTACAGAGATTGCTTGCTGGGAGCCAGACTCCATGTTATTTTTTTCCCCATACTTTTTATTGATGTATTATAATTTTACATAACATGCTCCATGTTATATATTTTATTTTATTATTTTTTAAAAATGTCTATTTTTTAGTTGTAGTTGGACACAATACCTTTTTATTTTTTTTTAATTTACATTTTTATGCAGTGCTGAAGATCGAACTCGGGTCCTAAGCGAGCACTCTACCGCTGAGCCACAACCCCAGACCCAAGATGTTTTATTTTTGTTACCTAAAATTCTTTGTAAGTTTAATTGTTTCTCATCTTAGAGCACAGAAATAACAAAATACCAATGTCAAATACACATTTGCTACATTGTTTGACTGTTCTCTTCTTTTTTCTTTTTCTTTTTTTTTTTTTTTTTGGTACTGGGGTGCTCTACCACATGCCCAGCCTTTTCTTTTCTTTTTAATTTTGAGACAGGACCTCAATAAGTTGCCTAGACTGGCCTCTAACTTGCAATCCTCCTGCCTCAGCCTCCCAGGTTGCTGGTATTACAGGTGTGCACCACCACATCTGCTTGTTTTCCTCTCTGATTTACTATCTTCTTTCTTCTCTGTTCAATTCCAGGTGATAATTCTTTCCCTCCACTCATATGCTATACCCAACCCCCACCCTTTCCCTTCCCATTTGTTGAGGTTACCAGTGATATCCCAGTTACCAGTGACAGCCACATGACAGTCTATTTCTTTAGTTCCTGGTTTTATTGTGAATCTACTAAGTGCCAGACACTGTACTCAGAATAGAAAGAGGAAGAGATGATGGACCCTGCCTTTAAGGAGCTTATAAGTGTGATGAGGAGACAGACCCTAGGAGAGATGATGCCATTGCAAAGTGCTAAGTGCTATGGCAGAGGTGTATACATGAGTCTGGGGAGAAAGGTTCTTGATAGAGTTGACATCTGGGTGATCTACATGGAGGTAGAAGTGAGAGGTGATGTGATCCTTGTGTTAGGTGTTACTGTGATTTAATGTGTAAGAAGGAGGTGACAGAGAGCAGGGCCAGAGGCAGGCAAGAGCTGATTCATGGTGAATTTTGTAGACCATGCTCATAGAGTGGGAATCTGGGCACAATTTATCTGGGTGTTCTGGCTCTGAGTTTCTCATAGGGCTGTGATCAAGTTATCAATTTTGGTTAGGATCTTATCTCAAGGCTTCTCTGGCAAAGGATCCTCTTGCAAACTTACTCAGGTGCCTGTTAGCTTGATTCTGTTTCTTTCAGAACCTCCATTCCTGGGTGGCTGATGGCTGAAGGCCACCCTCATTTCCTTACTTTACAGGCTTCTCCATAGGACAAGCAAGCAAATGGGGGAAGGTCAGAGAGGGCAAGCAGAACAGAAGCCAGTCTTTTTTGAAAGCTCATCCCCAAAAGAGACATCCTCTTACTTTTGCCCATAGGAAGCAAGTCTGAGGTCCAGGTCACATCCAGGGGAGGAGATTATATAAGGTTGTGAATACCAGAGAATGGGGATCACTGGTCATTGAGTTAGAAGCTGCTGGCACATGTGGCAAATGACACATAGCCAATTCACTGAAACAGGGTTTTTTTTTCCTACAAAGTGTGTGCTCTTAACCACATTCCACAGAAGAATACTACACTGTCTCATCTCTCCCCTAGTAGAATTTATATAGGTATGATACCCAGCACATGGTAGGGACTTAACTTTTCCAGGTAGCAAGTGTCAAAGTCAGATGCTGAACCACTAACCTTTTATCTCCCAGGGATCACAAATGCAGTTGTACCTACAGTCCAGGGAGGGAATGAGAATGAGTTAGATTGGGAATGAGGGAAATGGCAGAGGTGACCATGGTGAACAACTGGTGGCCTACTTAAGGGGGTATCCATTTCCTCTGCCAACCCTGTAGCCCCGGGGGATTGTGTTCCCACCATGGCCATGGCATTTAATTCTCATAAATGAAGTTGGAAACCTAGATTGGCCAGCCTTAAATGTTGGCAACTAATTTTAAAATTTGTTTAGTAGCTTGTGCACCACCAACACTATGTAGGTGAATCAAAACTCACCTGAAGACCAATTCTGTCCCTCAGCCACCTGTTGGTGACATCTTCTCTTTGCCCTGTTTATCATCTTTGGAGGAGACACACAGTAAGGATCTAGAAGATGTTGCCAGGATTGTTCTAGGGACAGGAGAGGAGAGCTGGCCCTTAACCTGAGACCAGAACTTCAATTTTGTTCAACAAATTGGATTCAGTATTTGCCAAAATCATTCTCACTATTTGGAGTTTGTGTAGAAAAGTAAGATTTTTTTGAAAGATATTTTATTTTGACTTCATTTCATTTTAGTACTATTCTTTTATTACCTAGTGAATCATGTGGTATTATTCTCTGCATCTCTCCTGCCCCCTAAAAAGAAGAAGTCATTGGTGTCTTCACTCGCCTCTTACAAAACTGATTTTTAGAGGAAATTATGTAAGAATTTTTCAAAGTCAGTAAGATACATTGCAGACCATTTCATTTCAGTGTTATTTAGGCCTTGGGATTTCTGTACTTGATCATTTGTGTACATAAAATTCAACTGAGGATCATTAAGATAAATAGGATGGATGATTTTAATGATGCTATATTGGTTTGACTGTGTACAGATATTGCCAGGGTCTGGTCAGAGAGAGGAAATGAGGAACTAATATGCATTAGCAAATTCAAGGGGGGAAAATCAGCACGACTCAAAGTCTAAGGTGACTTTAACAGCTTACTTTTTCTGAATATTCATTTTCTCTATACTATATTGATTTTACCAGTTCCAGAAAACTAGTCTTGTTTGGCATATTAATTATTCAACCCCATAAAGGCCGCAGTAAAGTGTATAAATGGTTCACATTGTTCACTCTCTTCAAAGGAAGATGAATGATAATTTCTGTGTTTTTTAATTGACAATAGTTATGTGTATTTATGAGGTACAGTGTGATGCTATTTGTGTGTGTGTGTGTGGTGCTGGGGATTGAACCCAGAGCCTTGCACATGACATGCTAAGCAAGCTCTCTACCACTGAGCTACATTCCCAGCCTTTTGTTATTTTAAGTTAGGGTATAGCTAACTTGCCCAGGCTGGTCTCCAACTTGTGATCCTCCTACCTCAGCCTCCTATGTACCTAAGATTATAGGCATGTACCACTATAGGCCACATGTGATGTTTTGATATATGTATACATTGTGTGATGTTATATCAAGCTAATTAACATATCCATCACTTCAAATACTTCTTTTTTTTTAGTTGTAGATGGACATAATACCTTTATTTTATTTATTTATTTTTTTAATGTGGTACTGAGGATTGAACCCTGTACTTCACATGTACTGGGCAAGTGCTCTAGCCCCAGCTCCACTTACTCTTTTTTTTTTTTTGTAGTGAGAACATTTTAAAATTTACTTTTAGAAATTTTGAAATACACAATACATTATTATTAACTGTGGTAACCATGCTGTGAAATAGATCTTGAGAACTTGTTCCTCCTGTTTCACTGAAACTGTGTACTCTTTGGCCAACATCTCCTGGGCAATCACTTTTTAAAAATATTTTTTAGTTGTAGATGGACACAATACCTTTATTTATTTTTATGGGGTGCTGAGGATCGAACCCAGTGCCTCACACATACTAGGCAAGCACTCCACCACTGAGCCATAGCCCTGGCCGGCCCCCTAGGCAATCATTTTTGACTTGTAAATTTCCTATTTCATTTCTGTGAAAGGAAAAGAAATATTAATATCTCCAAAAGTTAAAAAGCAAATTGTTATTGCATAAAAAAGAGAGTATCTTTTGTCACTGTATTTGTTTTATCAGATTGGATTGAATAAATATGCTAAGAGAAACTTGCATTTTATTGTGCATCACAGAAACTATAGTATATAGAAATAAGTAAAAAATTGGCCTTAACAGTTGCATGTAGCTTTGCTGGTTAAATCTTAATGCCATTTGATCTTGCCCTTATACATGTATTGACTGCATGGAAATCAAGTTATAAATACTTATATATAATATGGTGTACTCCATTTCAGACAGTTTACAAAGATGGTCCACCTGCAGGTTCAGCCTTTTTCCCACAGGGTAAATAACTAACCCCTGAATTGTTGGATGTTCCATTTCAGTGATTGAAGGAGGACCCCTGGAACACATCTACAGACTGAAGCAGTTCCATTTTCACTGGGGGGCAATTGATGCCTGGGGCTCTGAGCACACTGTGGACAGCAAATGCTACCCAGCAGAGGTATGTTGAGAAGGTCAGGAACTGAGACAACTGTGGAGAAGTGGGGATAGTTCTAACGTTTCTAGTTCTAAGAAGTTAGCAGAAAGAATGAGGTTGTTCCTATAAATGCTACATAACTCAATCAGGGGCATATTTGATTATTTCTAGCCTAGACATGTAAAAATTACATACATCTGAAATAAAATGGTTGAAATGAATCTTAATATTCTGAAACTGTCTGACATGGTATCACACACCTGTAATCCTTGGTAGGCTGAGGCAGGAGGATTGTGAGTTCAAGGCCAGCCTGGGCAATTTAGCAATACCCTCAGCAATTAATTGAGATCCTATTTAAAAATAAACAATAAAAAGATGAGCTGGGAACACTGGTGCATGTCTGTAATTCCAGTGAGTTGGGAGTCTGAGGCAGGGGAATCACAAGTATGAGGTCAGCCTCAGCAATTTACTGAGACCCTGTCTCAAAATAAAAAATAAAAAGGGTTGGGAATGTAGCTCAGTGGTAAAGAGGCACTGGGTTCATTCTCCAGCACCAAAATAAATAGATAAATAGGACTGAGGATTAGCTCAGTGGTAGAGTGCCTCTGGGTTCAATTTCCTGTACCACAAACCAAAATAAACAAACAAATCCTGAAACTGAATTCTTCCAGAATTCTAAACTAGGCTCAAACTATTGCGTAAAGTACTAATCCAGGAAACAATGCACAGCCACAGGTTGAATTAATCCAAATGAGAAATGTGGGGCCTAAATGAAGTCTATCACAATAGAAATAGAAAGAAAAAAATTTATCGAACATTTCTGAAATAAAAGCACTAGGATCCTCTTCAGGAGAAAAGATGACAAAGTTAACTGTGACCTTGAGGTGTCTCATTTGGAGGCTGGGTGATAATGCAGTCATATTCATGAATGATAGATGAGGAATGATTTATAAGAAAATATAAAGAGAGCATAAGGAAATTGAATTTCTTCTTACAACTTTCCCCCTAATTCTGTTTGAAATGTTAAAAATGAAAACATGGGCTGGGGATATAGCTCAGTTGGTAGAGTGCTTGCCTCGCATGCACAAGGCCCTGGGTGTTCAATCCTCATTATCACCCCCCACCCCCACCCCAAAGAAAAAAGAAAACACATTGCAAATGGTTATCCTGCCAAGAAGAAATCTGTCTTCAACTCCTGTCTAATTTCCATAGGGAGGATCTCTTTCTGTTAGTATATAAACATCTTCTCTCCCTTAGATGCAAATAGATTTTAGATATTAGTATTTCATGCAAATCAAGATGGGAATGAACAAATGTTGATTCCTTACGAAAATGTTACTTTGCTATGTGAATCTATTTTTCTCCATTAATAAATCTTTCTCTTCCAAAGTGATATTAATTGTTCTTGCCTAAATTTTCCCTGTTTTCAATATCTCATTTTATACACAATTGTCGTATGCTTTTCTCAGTAGCTTTATTTGGGATGAAGAAACATGATTAAATGTGTATGTTGAAAGAGGCTGTCAGTTTATTTGGGAATGATCCTGTAGGGTTATATGTTAAACTCACTTTTAACGATGTTCCAGCTGCACTTGGTACATTGGAATGCAGTCAAGTTTGAAACCTTCGAGGATGCTGCGCTGGAAGAAAATGGTTTGGCTGTGATAGGAGTATTTTTAAAGGTAATAAACACACCAAAAAAAAAAACATATTAACTTTAAGTGATATCTTGTACTCAAGAAATGCAAAGATAGCCGGGCACTGTAGTGCAGTGCATGCCTGTAATCCCAATAGCTCTGGAGGCTGAGGAAAGAGGATAACAATTTCAAAGCCAGCCTCAGCAACTTAGCGAGGCCTTAAGCAACTTAGGAATACCCTGTTTCTAAATAAAAAATATTAAAAAACGGCTGGGAATGTGGCTCAGTGGTTAAGTGGCCAGTACTAAAATAATAATAATAATAATAATAATAATGATAAAATTTAAAAATAACTGGGCACTGTGGTGCATGCCTGTAATCCCAAGAACTCTGGAGGCTGAGGCAAGAGGATCACAAGTTTAAAGACAGCCTCAGCAAAAAATTGAGGCGCTAAGCAACTCATCGAGACCCTGTCTCTAAATAAAATACAAAATAAGGCTATGGATGTGGCTCAGTGGTCGAGTGCCCCTGAGCTCAATCCCGAGTACCCCCCACCAAAAAATAAAATAAAATAAAAGGGCTTTGGTGCGGCTCAGTGGTTAAGCACTTCTGGGTTCAATCCCAGTAACCAAAAATAAAAAAGAGGGCTGGGGTTGTGGCTCAACGGTAGAGCTCTTGCCTAATATGTGTGAGGCACTGGGTTTGAGACTCAGTAACATATAAAAATAAATAAATAACATCTACAACTCAAAATATTTTAAAAATTAAAAAAAAATTAAAAAGTTAGAACATTACGATATAGGTTATTTATTTTAAGAGTATTAGGATCAATAGTCTGGTAAAATAAACAATGCTTAAAACACAAGGTTATTATGAATGTATTTCAAATGATATAAAAGTGCACAGTACTATAATCACAAGCCATCTGTGTCAATTGAACCCTTGAAATGTAGTTAGTGCAAGTGCAGAATAATTTCTAATTTTAATTAATTTAAATTTCAATGTAAGATCTGATACTTAATAGGGCCTGGAGGCACCTTTCCCTGCAGGCACCTGGCCTTTCAGCAAACAGCCTACTCATTTGTTTTGTATCTAATTGAATTCAGTGATGTTTATAACATTCTCAATTAGCAGCTTAAGTCTAGTTTCAGTCCTGTGGTTTATTTATATGTAATCATCAGGTGGTTAATTTTAATTCCCATTCTGTTACAGTTTCTACAGTGAGATGTCTGTTGTTATTAATATTTTTGTCTTTGTTCTTTAGCTAGGCAAACATCATAAAGAGCTACAGAAGTTGGTGGATACTTTGCCATCAATTAAGCATAAGGTAATATTTTTTTCTGGCTCACTTGAAATATACTTTATTTTCCAATCTCAGAGTAGAGACATTAATAGGCCCTTTGTACCAGAAAGTGTAATTAGGTGACCTGTGTTCAGGTTCTCCTTCAACACTGCCGAGGTAGGGAACTTGGCATTTATGATGCTTGTGTTAAGAGAGCCCCTGCCCCTGGGTCCCACTGGAGGGCACAGAAATGACTTCATTGATGGGCACTGAGCTCTCTAGTTTTGCTGCCATGCTGCTTGGGACTCTGGACTCAGGAATATACTACTTTCCCCTCCTTTGTTCTTGACACCAGCTCCTTGCAAGTCCTTGTAAAAACACCCAGTCTTCTTTTCTATAGTCACCTCCACAGGGAAGGAGCAAGAAAAATCCTTTAGAGACTTGATTTGTCTTGCTGTAAAAAACAATTATCCTTGTCCCTTGTCCAGTCCCCAAGATGAAGTCCTCCACATTCAGTACCCCAAAGATCTGCAACCTGGAAGTCTGTTTATCATTCCTCTCTTCTCCTGTTTCCCTCCCTCATTTTCCATCTCTCCCCCTTTCCATCCCTCTCTCTCTTTCTCTCTCTCCTCAGTCCAGGATTTTGGCTCCTCCTGATTTAAACTGCATTAGTCTGTCTTGATTAGGAGAAGTCTCCTTGTTTATGCAGCAGTCACTACCTAAGATCTCCCAATAACAGAGGGGACCACCTGCTCTAGGCTCATCAAAATTGAGGGAGACAATGGTTTTGACTGTTTTCCCACTAAGAAATATCAGAAATACACAGGTGATTGTGGAAACAAAGCCTGGACATGATTCTGTGTTAAGCAGTGATGATTCTTCAGAAAGCTGCCCAGGGTGCCTGGAGCTCCCTTGAACCACTGCTAGTCCCCAGACCCCCTGAGAATCATTGCCTGAGTGGTTTTCTAATTCCTGAGTGTTTTTTTACTACTGAATAATAGCTGGGTAACTTCTTATGGCCAGGACACCCTTGTGGAATTTGGGTCATTTGACCCTTCCTGCATGATGCCTGCCTGCCCGGATTACTGGACCTACTCCGGGTCTCTGACTACCCCGCCCCTCTCTGAGTCTGTCACCTGGATCATTAAGAAGCAGCCAGTAGAGGTTGATCATGATCAGGTATGTTGTTTTCACATTTTCCACCTGTGGAGACCCTAGTCTGCCTGTCTAAAAAAAAAAAGGTTGGGTTCAAACTTTGACAGTTTTAATACCGTATCTTAATTTGGATATGATTTAGGAAATGCTTCAGATTAATTTGAAAGAAGAGTTCAAACAAGGAAGAACATAAGCTGCTTGCTTCTGTATTTAACAATTACTTATGTTTTATACATTGTGCATTTTATATAGAGCATGAATCTCTATATAAATTCAAGACCCATTTAAAAGGAAGAATGGAGGCTGGCAATCAGATATATTCAAAGATCTTTAAAATTCTTAAGGGAATTTTGCAATAAAATCGCAAGATAAAAAGAATCTAACAATGACTGTCCAGGAATTTTAATGTAAGTTACTTGTTTTAAACCTGGGATTAATTTTTTCCCTAGAAAATAAGTTTGAGTGGTAGCTATTATGTCAATAAACAGAATCCTGTTTAATTCATAATATAACTAAAGTAGAATAGTATTTGCTCATAATTGCTTTATGGGATTTAAAAATTTGACTATAAACCATTTTCACAAAAAATGAAGCCTTCTAAACTCTTTTTTTATGAAGTCAGGATTACCAATACTAACATCCATTGAAAATTGGACCCTTCCTCAAGAGTAAACTCTGAATTGGTATCTCTGAAGAACATACAAGCTAAAAAACAACAAACAAACAAAAAAGCCCTAAAATATTAGAAATAGAATACAAAATAAAAATCTATCAATACATTAGAAGAACTATATACTTTGTCTAAGTCGTGTATATTGTAGTAATGTAGGAAGAATGATTCATTATGAATGATATTAATACAATTCATTATATCAGTGAATCTAATGTTTAAAAGTCATGTTATTTCCATAGATTCTTTTTTTATTTTTTTGTACTGGGGATTGAACCCAGAGGTACTTTACCACTGAGCTGTATCCCCAGCCCTTTTTATTTTTTTATTTAGAAACAGGGTCTCTCTAAGTTGCTTAGGGCCTCACTTAGTTGCTGAGACTGGCCTTGAATTTGCGGTCCTCCTGTCTTAGCCTCTCCAGTTGCTGGGACTACAGGCATGCTCCACCACACCTGGGTTCTATAGAATCTTAATAGACATTTGTAAATTTTTCTATTCAGTATTTATTTATTCTGCATTACTGCGGATTGAACCCAGGGATGCTCTACCACTGAGCTATATCCCTGGCCTTTTATACTTATTTTGAAACAGGGTCTGACTAAGTTGCCCAGGCTGGCCTTGAACGTGCAATCCTCCTGCCTGAGCTTCCCAAATAACTGGGATTACAGGCATATGCCACTGTACCTGGCAGTTTTTTGGGTTTTTTTAAAATATCTTTTTAGTTGTTGATGGACCTTTATTTTATTTATTTGTATGCAGTGCTGAGAATCGAACCCAGTGCCTCACACGTGCTAGGCAAGTGTTCTACCACTGAGCCACAACCCTAGCCCACTCCACCTGACAGTTTTAAATAATTTTTAATAAAATATAAATGAATAGAGACTTATTTAATATGATAAAAGAGATTGATCTCAGTTTAAAAGTAAATTTGAACAGAGCTAGGGATGTGGTTCAGTGGTAGAACATTTACCTAACATGAGTGAGGCCCTGGGTTTCATCTCCAGCACTGAAGGAAAAAAAAAGAAAACAAAAGAAAGAAAAGTAAATACAGTTGTCACTTGGTATCTGCAGAGGATTAAGACTCCCCATGGATACCAAAATCTGCAGATGCTCAAGCCCTTACATGGAATGGCATAATATTTGCATGTGACCTACATACATCATCCTGTATACTTTAATCATCTCTAGATTACTCATACTACAATGTATATCCTATGTACATGGTTGTTATAATGTATTGTTTAGGGAATAATGACAAGAAAAAAGTCTGTACATGATCAGGACAGGTACAATTTTTTTCCCCCAATACTTTTGATCCACAGTTGGAAGAATCCACAAATGTGGAACCCATAAATTCAGGGGACCAACTATAGTATGTTTAATATAGAGAGGATTATTCCAATATTAAATTTTATATTAAATTATATTCTGGAATTAGCAGGGTTTAGTGGTGTGTGTCTGTTGACCCACCTAAGGCTTAGGCAGGGGAATCTCTTGAGCCCAGGAATTTTGGGCCAGCTATGGGAAACAAAGCAAGACCCTGTCTCTTAAAAAAAAATGTTCTAGAAGTAGCTAATACAATTAGATGAGAAAATTTTTAAAAAAATAGGAGAAACAATAAAATATACTACAAAAAATAAGTTAATTTGGTGATTACTGGAGTACAATATTAATTTTTTTTACATTTTTTTAAGTTATAGATGGACACAATACCTTTATTTTATTTTATTTTTATTTATTTTTTATTATTAGTTGTTCAAAACATTACAAAGCTCTTGACATATCATATTTCATACATTTGATTCAAGCAGATTATGAACTCCCATTTTTACCCTGTGTGGTACTGAGTATTGAACCCAGTGCCTTATGCATAGTAGGTGAATGCTCTACCACTGAGCCACAACCCCAGCCCCTACCATATTAATTTATATAAATAAAAAAAATATTTGAAATATGTAAATCACAATCAGTTAAAAGATATAATGGAAGAAAGAACCCTATTTAAAATAGAAACATTATAAAATAATGTTTAAAATATAAAATACTTTGCAATAAGTTTAAGAAGAGAGTTCAATAAGAAAATTTAAAATATTCCTGCAGGACACAAAGAAGATGAGTTAGTAAAATTCACTCTATATTATTGGACAGGAAGATATCATAAAAACACCTTTGCTATCTATTCTCCTGAAGTTGTTATTCTTCATGAATTGTTTATTCTCCATAAACTTAACATAGTCTCAATAAATATACCAATAAAAATTTTAGTTGTAGATGGACACAATATCTTTGTATTATTTGTTTATTTTTATGTGGTGCTGAAGATCAAACCCAGTGCCTCACATGTGCTAGGCAAGTGCTCTACCACTGAGCCACACCCCAGTCCCTATACCAATAAAATTTTAAATAGGTATGTTACTTCTAAATTCAAGTACAAACAGATAAGTATAAACCAGGGAAAATTCTAAAAGAGAAAATGAGGAATGATTATATTCACAAAATTATAAAGACTCAAAAATTAAATACTATAGTACTGATGCATGAATAAAAAGAACAATTAAGTGAAGTGTGCTAGGGATCTGCAGAGAAACAGAACCAATGGTGGGGAGGATGAATTAGTATTGGGGTCCTCTAGAAGAACAGAATAGAATGTATATATAAGAGGAGATTTATTAGATTGGCTTACATGATCAGAAGCTGGATGCAGGCTGGAAAACTGAGGAAATAAGTAACTACTCAGTCTAAGAAATTGGAAGTCTCAGAACCAGAAGGAACAATGATGCAGCCTCAATCTGAGGCTGAAGGCCTGGGAGCTCCCTGGAAAGTCATTGGTGTAAGTCCATGTTCAAAACCTGAAAAATCTGGAGCCGTATCCACAGCAATGGCAGCATCAAAAACTACATCCACTGTAGAAGAATGGAGTTTGCACAAATGTGAGCTTATGAGCATCCCCTTCTACTGCTTTTTGTTCTGTCCGGGTCCCCCAGTCTATTCAAGGTAGGTCTTCCCCCCTCAGTTCTCTGACCCATATGCCAATCATTTCTGAAAACACCCTCATAGATTCACCCAGAGTGTGCTTCAACAATTTCAAGGCATCTCTCAATCCATCAAGTTAACAACCAAGATTAACCATCAGAAAGATGGAGATAGAGATTTATTTATAAGATATTTTCTCATGTGATTATAAAGGCTGAGAGTCCTAGGAAAGCTGGTAGGGTAGCCCAAAGACCTGAGACCTGATAAGCCAATGGTGTAGATTCCAGTCCTGGTCTGGAGACTGAGAATCAGGAGCTCCAAAAGGCATAAGATTGATGTCTCAGTTAAAAAAAAATAGTCACAGAGCAAATTCAGCCTTATGCCTTTTTGTTCTATTCAGGCCCTCAGTGGATTAAATGATGTCCATCCATGTTGGAAAGGCCATCTGCTTCACTCAGTCCACCAATTCAAATCTTAATTTCTTTAGAAAACACTCTCACAGACATATCCAGAAATAGTGTTTAACTAGCTATCTGGGCATCCCTGGCCCAATCAAGTTGGCACATAAAATTAGACATCACAGGAAGAAAACAGTAAGTTCAAAATTATATCCAAATACATATGAGAATTTATTTTAGGATAAAGGTAGCATCTCAGCTCAGTGAGGGGAAATTATACAGCATTCAGTAAGTGCTACTAAGGAACAACCGAGGAGTTAAATGAGTGGGGAAAAAAGTTGGATCCAGCATTCAAACTATTAAATGCAAAAAATACCATCATAAAAATCCTAGAATAAGCATAGGAAAATCCTTTCATACCTTCAAATGGAAGAAGCTTTATCTAATTATAATACAAAACAAGAAGTCCAAAAGAAAACAGCTAGTAACTGAGACTGTGTATTTTTTTAAAATTCTATAAGATAAAAACCACCATAAATAAATGACAAATAACAGATTTTGGTTGCCCATAAGCCTAGGCTTTGTGGTTTACACATTTTCTGCTACTAATCTTCATATTTATAATTTTCATAACACTAAAAAGTTAAAAAATAAATAAATCAGAAGGTCAGTAGCCCATGTAAGGAATTTTCAAATAAAATCTCAACACAGGAAATTCAGTTAGAAAACCATTTCCTGTCAACTAATCCTAGTAACCTGGAATCCTACCATTCAGTGTTATTCATTGTTTGGGGGAAATCCTGCTGGTCTTTTATCTATATAAATATATGTAATTTTTGTAACAGAATCATTCTGTGCATACCATTTTACTTGTCTTTTTGCTCAGTGATGTGCACAACATTTTTAGATAATAACCATTATCTTCTATATAATTTTTAATGGATATATACTAGCCCATTTTATTGATCTCATGTCACTTTTTATTACCTACTTTATGGTACTTGGGTTGTTCCTAATCTTTTTCAATTAGCTGAATAAAAAATTAACATTAACTACTTGTATAGTTTCCTAATTTCCTAAGGCATATGTGTAATTTGCAAGTACAACCACTCTGTTGGTACTTGCCTCTGATCATGTCCTACTTCTTCAGTTTTATTTGGTCTAAAGTCTTTACTTCAACAAACTAAATTCTCTTCTTTCTTTTTCTCTTTTGTTGGACCTTGTGCATGCTGGGCAAGTGCTCTACCACTGAGCTACACCCCCAGCCCTCCAAACAAATTTTCACATGCTTTCTTACTGTGTCCCAGGTTATTCTATGTAGCCACAGTGGGCCAGATTGACTGAACAGATTTTCTGGCTAGCTTGAAGTAGTATGCTATAACATGGTTGCTAAGAAAGACAGGGGCTATTGCTGCATCAAAGAACAACATATTGCCTTAATATTTTGGGTTGCTGCTTCTGTATTGAGCTATACTATCCAACACAATAGCCACTAGCCACATATGGCCACTTATATTTAAATATGAATCAACTTAAATAAAAAATTCAGTTTCTCACACTGGTCACCTGGTCACATTTCAAGTGCTCAGTAGCCATATGTGTCTTGTGGTTACCAGGATGGACCATGCAGAGGATATTTCTACCATTAGAAAAAGTTCTATTGGACAGCACCAGTATGAAGCATCTCACAAGACCTCTATGTGTTATTTCTTTGCTCACAATACAAAGTGCAGTGAGCAATCAATTACACAATTTTATGTTAATGATTTGGTAAATTTTTTAAAAACATACTTTTTATGCTGTTACTGTATGTATCAGGCCTTTCCTTTATTATTTGGCTGTTTTGTTCAATTAAATATTAGGTTCTTGAGAATCAAAGAGATAAAGTAACTCATCTTTGTCCTCAGTCTTCTGATTCAAAGTGCATGGCTGGTTTCATCACCTTCTCACATAAGGATGGCAAAACATAGTATAGTATTTTATTCCTTGTGGAGGGTGAAGGTATCTTACTTAGAAATAACTTCTGCTTCTGAATCCAGTTTGAGACAAAATGTTTTAGAATTAGAAAAATGAAAGTTATTTATTCATGAGACAAAGCTGGATTTCTACTAAATTTATTTGTCCTTTTTCAAAAATTTTTTTTCAGCTTGAGCAATTTCGGACCTTGCTTTTCACTTCTGAGGGGGAGAAAGAGAAAAGAATGGTGGACAACTTTCGCCCCCTTCAGCCCTTGATGAATCGTACTGTCCGCTCATCTTTCCGCCATGATTACGTGCTGAATATACAAAAGAACCCCAAGACAATTGCCAGCCAAATGACTCCCTAAGATGTTCATATCTAGGCAATATTTTGCTTTAATACATATTAGCTTTAAAAAATTGTTAACTAGACTATTTTAAGTACCTTCATTTAATAATATCTTTAAATATATATTTCTTTCTTTTTTTAGCATTTCAAAGTCACTATCCTAGCAAGGCAGGGACAGGGAAACAGAACAATAGAAAAATAACAGATTAGTTAATACGAGGTTACTTTAAGTTACAATTTTTTGTGTGAAATAATTAAGGCAGAGGGAACTTCATTACTATACCAATTGAAACTGGCCTGTTTGAGAAATTTGGCTATTATTTTTCTAGTCCTGGTTTCTCAGAAAGTGAGATAAAGAGTTTTGTTTCTGCTTGGTCAGGTGGAACTTTAGTATGAGTGATTCCATTTTGATTTTTAGCCTGGTCTGTTGGGGCCTAGCACAGGAACTTAGTCCAAAACAATGGCTTCCTATAATTTTTGTTGAACAATTTCCACCTTTTAGTCAGACTTTTACCACCTTTGGGCATTAGTGCTCCTCTTAGTTACCATCATCTTGGGCTTCTGGTCTCAACATGTCATTCACAGGTTAGATGTGTGTTTATAGGTATGAGAGTACTTAACCAATTTTTGAGAAATATTATTTGGTAAACAAATTATTTATTTGATTTATAACAGTGTTTATCACTGAAGTACCAGCAAGAGATACAAGTTTTTCTTAGGCAACCTGTTGGTAATTGTAATTTTTTTTTTTTTTTGGTACTAGAGATTGAACCCAGGGATACTTAAACACTGAGACACATCCCAAACCACAGCCCCCTTTGTTTTTTATTTTGAAACAGGGTATCACCAAGTTACTTAGGTCCTCACTAAGTTGCTGCAACTGGCCTTGAATTGTAATCCTCCTGTCTCAGCCTCCCAAGCTGCTGGGATTACAGGTGTGCATCACCATGCTTGGCTGTATCTGATGTTTTTGAGCTATCTTTTTATACTTATCAATTAATGGTTCTATAGAGTTATAGGTAGGAATTATAATCAAGTGATTAATAACTAGTAAAGGCATAAATACTGACATCACAGAACACAGGCTTTTCAGAAACAGCCACAGGGCCCAAACTGGTCCTTACTGCTTGAACAATGCCATGGTTTTAGGTCTACTTCATTTTAAAATGAGAATATTCTTTTATTATGGTTTCTCAATGAGTGTATTTGCCTTTATTTTTATTTGTTATTAGTAGTACATGATATACTTATTATCATTGTATTATACAGAAAATTTGTTTTGTAATTATAAGAATACAATATCTAGAATCCTTTATATTTCTGAAGACTAGATATTTTACTTAATTGTTTGATCTCATAGAAAGCACTGCAGAACATTGTAAAGAAAAGTTCTTAAAGTGCATATAACTTAGAATTCTTTCATGGTACACTTACAGAAATAATCTTCAAATGCAAATAGTATTATTTTGCAATATTTATACACCATTACATAGATTATGATATTTTCCCAATGACAGAGCTATCTTCTTTTAAAGCTTCCCTTAAAAGTATTCAAATTTAGGGTTGGCAATAAAGCTCAGTAGAGTACTTGCCTTGCATGCATAAGGCCCTGGGTTCAATCCCCACCACTGCAAAAAAAGTATCTGAACTTAGTCTAGGGATGTAGCTCAGTAGTGGAGAGCCTACCTTGCATTTGTGAGTCCCTTATACTTTATCTTTAGCATTACAAAAATCAAATAAAAAACTTTATGAACTTTATTTACTTATTAGTTAAGGTTTTTTGCAATACATGTGATCAACTTAAATGTCCCAATTTATACAGTTGTTTGGAAGACTTTTGTTATAGTAATAGGAAGAGGGCTAAAATCTGGATAATTCTCCATAGTCTGAGGAATCCATGCCACTGTTGCTCTTGCTTATAAATATCTTAGAATGTTTCCAGTTGCCACTAAGGTTGTTTTCAGATGCAATACTGTATCAAAAACTAGAAGTGTTTCATTAGTATGCTCGTCGTCTAGTTTGTAAGACAAGGTTGGATGAATATACACTACCATTATTCAACTGTACACTTAAAGATGGTTAAGATGGAACTGGGATTATACCAAAATTAAAAATGTCTGCTTGTCAAAGAAAGCATTCAACAATGTGAAAAGGTAACCGATGGAATTACCATGAGATCCAGCAACCCCACCCCTACGTGTATGTATGTATATATATATATATATATATATATATATATATATATATATCGCAAAGAATTCAAACCAGGATCCCAGAGAAAAATCTGCACTCCCATATTCACAATAACCAAGAGGTGGAAGTGACCTAAATGTCCATCGACAAATGAATCAATAAATAAAATGAGGTAAATACATAAAATGGGATATTACCTTTAAAAGAAGAAAATCCTGTCACATATGTAATGTGGCTGAACCCTGAAGACATTATGCCAAGTGAAATAAGCTAGTCACAGAAAGATACTGCATGATTCCTCTCATATGAAGTATCTAAACTCATCAAAATCATAGAAACAGAAAGTAAAAAGGCGGTTGCCAAGAGCTATGGGGGGCGGCTGGGGTTGTGGCTCAGTGGTAGAGTGCTCACCTAGCATGTGTGAGGTACTGGGTTTAATCTTCAGCACCACATAAAAATAAATAAATAAAGATATTGTGTCCATCTACAACTAAAAAAGTATTTTAAAAAAGTTAAAAAAAAGAGCTATGGGGAGAGAGGTTAGGAATTTTTGCTTAGTGGATATAGAGTTTCAGTGTTACAAGATAAAAGAGTTTTAGAGATATGTTGAATGTGAATATAAGTAATACTACTGTACTGGACACTTAAAAATGCTCAAGATGATAAATTTTTAAAATGGTTAAGATGGTAAATTTTATGTGTATTTAACCAGTTAGAAGTAAAAAATAAATTCAGTAGGAAAAAATGGATAGACTTGGAATTATATATTCAAGTTGGAAGGGTATCTCTTCTCTAAGCAAAGAGGGGTGGTGAAGGCTTTTGCGTGTTGTCTTAGAAAAATGCATAAAATTCTTAAAAAGATAAACATAGAAGGCTAGGGATGTGTCTCAGTGATAGAATGCTTGCCTAGCACATGCCCTGGGTTCAATCCCCAGCACTGCAAGAAGAAGAAAAATAAAGATGAACGTGGTATAAAAAAAAGTTAGTTAGCTTTATGTAGTTCATCTATTTCAAACTATAGTAGTTACCTTTTGTTATGGTTTGGATCTGAAATGCCCCCCCCCCCATGTTGAAAGCTTGGTCCCTAATTCAGCAGTGTTCAGAGGTGGGGCCTTTGAGAGGTGAAGGCTGTGACCTCATCAATGGATGGATTGAAATCTTCATGAGCTTGAGGGGAGGAGCTTTGTTATAAGTGAGCTCTCTCTTTGCTCTCTGGCTGCCATGAAGCGAGCAGCTTTGCTCCCCTATGTGTTCCCTGCCATCATGGTCTGCCAGGCCACAGGCCTAAACTCCATGGACCCAGTTGGCCATGGACTAAAACTTCTGAAACTGGGAGCCAGAGTATATCTTTTGACCTTGAAGTTGATTTTTTTCAGGTATTTTGTCAGAGTGAAGGAAAACTGCCTTAGATGCCTTTCAAAAGGTAGACATAAGCTATGCATCTTCCAGGGTACACAGACTTTCCTCCTAACCTCTTACAAACACTTAGTGCAAAACTCCATTGTGTTAAATCTGCCATTTTGGAGCAGGAATCAAGGTATAGAATGACTGTCTTGCCCTTATGTCTCACAGATAAAAAGGATGCATTTATAAGATGACTGTGTATTCTGGTTTCCAACTCCTGATTTACTTATACCTGGTGTTCTGGTGTAATTGTAATGGCACCCCCTTTCCCTCTCAACCATACTCTGGTTTACATGATAAATTCTCAGTCACCTTCTGTACAGAAGTTATGGAAATTGCTTTGAGGTTATGGTCTCTTCCATCTTGTCTTTGTCATATGATTCTCTAAGGGCCATTACAGATCCTCTGGCAAGAAACTTTATGTCTTTTATGACTTCAAAAGTGATACCTTCCTAAATATAAAGATGGGAAGTGGGCCTAAGATCTGTCAAAGGTCTTGAGAAAGAGTTTTGTATTAAAATTGCCCCTCATCTTCATTAAACAATCTTTTTACAACATTAATGCTTGTTTAATGACTTTTCTTTCATATGTTTCTTATATGTTTCATATAAGATGTTTGTAAAATTAGCAAGACACTCTTTAACGTGTAGATCAGCTAGCAACTGGAAAATTCATAAGGGATTTACTAGAGGAGCAGTAATGTGAAGAACCAGCTAATTTTGCACAGTTCACCTCTTTTCTGTGCACAGTCCAGTGCACACTTTGCTGACATCACCACACAGGGCAAGCTGCCAGCCCCTTTCTTCTTTCCCAGGGTACGTGGTGTGGAGCAGGTTCAATGTGTGCTGGGCACCCATTTGTCAGGGTTCAGTGAAACAGAACACAGTGGCAGGCAGCAAGTTATATGAAGCAGATGCATTACTTATAGATAGGCATCAAGGGACAAAAGAAGCCTAGGATCATTTATGAGCTGGTCCCCCATGACTTGAGGCTTGAAAAAGCCACCACAATGTAGATGGAGGCTTGATTACATGGCCCCACTTGCATCACAATGTGAGGGACCCCAAAAAGCAGTCCACCCCAGGTATATAAACCAGGGGCCACAGGACCCACAGGACCCACTGGGCAAAGTTTCAAAAGACATTCCATTTCCAGAGGAGAGTGGAACAAAATCTGGCATTCTAAGACTAGTTCCTCCCTACCTCAAGCTGGTATATTCCCAAAGAAGGACATGAACAAGGTCTGGGTTGTTTCTCCATATCTCAGGAAATTCATTGTGTTCCCAGAATATTCAACACTTATTCTGGAGATCTACAAGTGAGAATGTGGGAACTGGGTTAGTTTGAAATCACCTGGACAACTGTCTTGCATGTGGGTTATGGTAAAGTTGGTTCTTCTAAAACCAGGCATCTGTTCCTCAAAAGTAAAGGAAGATGTCTTTACTTATTGAATTCAAACGATGGTAATTATAGTTTGGAAATAGAATTGGCTTTTAGAGTTCCTTCTGTAATGAAATTAACTTGAGCAATTCAAGCTTGTTCATGAAAATGAATACAGTGGTTAACTGTTGAAAATAAATGTCAAACTCCTATAAAAGGAAATTTACATTCACTTATAAATCATAATAAAACAGAACCTACATCTGTATCTTTTTAAATTAGGAATATCTTCCCAGAGGATATTCTTACTTATTGTTCTAAAGTAAAAGTCTGATCTGATTCAATGTTATAGCAACCCAAACACTGATGCTTCCAGAATGGCAGAAACTCTCAGCATAAGTCCTATAGGGACCAGCAAATTGATGACTTATATAATTACGATATTCTATGCATCTCAGGGTATTCTCTAGCTTGGGGATATAATGGCCAACCACAGCTTCAAAATGTTTAAAATTTAGTGCAAGAAATATAAAAGAAGGCACAAAGTCCAGTACACTGTGTTAGGTATTATAAAAGTGAAATATTTATACTGGGAATGTACTCACAGCAAGTACCTAATCCATTCGTGGGGGGTGGGGGTCAGGAAGCTTTCATACTGATGATGGTGATGATAGTGGTGGTGATGATGATATAACAGCTAAAGTTTTGGGGATACTGTTGCCAGGCACTGCTCATAAATAGTCTATGTTATCCAATCATCACAATAAAAGGTGTATAAGATGGGAAATAACATTATTATCTTGATTTCTACAGATGAAAAAGTTGAGGAGTAGACATTAAGGAATTTACTTGAGATCAAAGATGGTCAAAGCTTAAGTTTCCTGGCCCATTCAACTCTAAAGCCTATGTCTCCATGGAGCTTGGTGTTGCATACCTACAATCCCAGTGATTTGGGAGGCTGAGGCAGAAGGAACACAGGTTCTAGGCCAGCTTTGGCCACTTAGTGAGACCCTCAGCAACTTAGCCAGACCCTGTCTCAAAAAAATAAAAATAAAAATAATAAATAAAATGAAAGGACTGGGGATTATAGTTCAGTGGTAAAATGCCTCTGGGTTCAATCTCCTTTACCAAAACAAAAAAAAAAAAAAAAAAAACAAAAAAAACCCCAAAACCCCACAAAGCCTACATCTGTAATTATGGAGGCACTGAGTTGGAAAGGTCAACCTGGAGGTGAAGGGGGCATTGAGTTGCTCAGATTGTAAAGGGTGAAGTTTATGCAGGGCTTGGTTTTCAGCTGAAAGATTCTAAGAAAAGATTGGGGGAAGTGAGGGCAGTTTAGTAAGTGGGTATGTCTGTAATTTTTTGGGGGGAGAGGGGTACTGGGGACTGAACCCATAGGTACTTACATTGAGTTACGACCCCAAGTCCTTTTTATTTTTTAAAAGACAGTCTCACTCAGTTGCTGAGGTTGGTCTCAAACTTGTGATCTTTCTGCCTCAGCCTCCCCAGATGCTAGGATTACAGATATGCTCCACCAACTGGGGAAGGTATATCAATAATTTAATTTGGAGAGGAGAAAAACAAAGCTAAGCCAGGAAAGTTACTGAATCACTCAAAAGACTGAGGTCGTTAAAGTATACTAGGAAGAAAAGTTTTTTCCTTGTCCTTGTTCTTGGCCTTGTATGTGTATATCACAGTCTTATTGCTAGCAGGGCTGTTTTACTCTCTCAGTCTTTAATCTCATCGATCCAGTTTAGTTTCATCACCCCTCTCCTAGATTATGTGGTACTGTATTTCAATTTTATGTTCATATTGTTTGAGAGTGGGTGGGGGTCTCCCTACTTTGTGGCCCAGGTTGGTATTGAACTCTGGGCTCCAGCGATCCTCCTGCCTCAGCCTCCCAAGTAGCTGGAACTACAGGCTTGTTCCACCCTGACTGGCTGCAGTTTTATCTTTTAATCCTTTATATTGCAAACCACAGTAATTTTCCTAAAACACAAATACCACTACAACAGTCCTCTGCTTAAAAGAGATAGTTCCCTGTTGTTTACAGAACATAATTAAAGTGTTTTAGCCCTCATCCATAAGCTAGGCCCAGCTCACCTCCACGGCTGCATTCCTTGACACTATTAATTTGCGGCTGAAATTCCATAAACGAATTTCTCGCCGTTCCCAGAACATTTGTTTCACCTCTTCATACCTTTGCTTATAATCATATGCCTGCAACCCTGTTCTTGCCCTTCTCCACCTGGATAAAAGCCATGTTCCTTGGAAAAATTAGCGAGGTCCTAGCAATTTAGTGAGACCCTGTCTTAAAAAACAAACAAACGAAAAAAACAAAATAGGCTGGTTCAATCAGTGGTAAAGCTCAGTGGTAAAGCACTCCTAGGTTGAATACCACCGAGTACAACAAAACAAAACACAATAACAAAACAAACAAAACAAAAAGCAGTATCAACACAAGCATCACTAAACTCCCTGAATTCCCAGGTGGACTATTTTAATTAAACTTCATCTTTGCCGGCAACATATTCACTTTTCTATGTAACGATCCTTCTCTGCACCTCAAATTGTAAACTCCTTGGGTACACAGGGTACAATTTTGCAACCCCTGAGTTAGCTCCCATTACAGGAGCTCAGCTTAGTGAATGGAAGGGGGTGGAGCCTAAAGCCTTGCCTGAGGCGCTGATAGGTGGAGCCGCGGAAGGAGGCGCAGCCTGGAGAAATTCTAAGGGAAGCCGGGCTAGCAGTTCAGGGGAGAATGAGTATTCGTGAGTGAATGAGAAAACGGGGTTGTGGGGGAGGTACGGCTTTAACCTCCTGGCCTCCACACTCCCACTAAGATGTATCGAAGCGCTGAGAAGAAAATGATTACTTCCTGGGCGGAATGAGTGCTCCAGAGGTTTCGGGAAGGAGACATTTATTTAGGCAGGATTTTGGCAAACCAGTCACAAAAAGAAACCTCCCGCCTTTGGTCTTTGGTCCCGCCCGGGCTGATGCCGCGCAGCACAGACGCCTGCGCTCGCCTTCTCCATTCTTAATCCCTCCTCTTCCGGTCAAATCTTGGGGGTGGGGTGCGCCGGTAAAATGGCAGCATCCGAGACGATGGTTCCTGAGAAACCTAGGTAAGCTCCGCTTGAGGAGATGGGCTGGAGAGCAAAAGGGACGGAGCTGGCCAAAACTGTCATAGAGGTTGAGCAGGCTGGAAGGAAAAGGGAGCTGGGCCCAAAGAGGGAGCCACCGCGCTCGTTTGGACCCTAACCCTTTCCCTGGCTGTCAGCCGTCGTCCGTGGGCTTAGGGAAGCGAGGAGGGGAACAAGTAGCAAATTGGAGAAAAACTGCTATTTGGGTGTGGAGGGATGAGGTAATAGTAGTTACATGTTCTGGAATTAAAACACTGGAAGTGCGATTTCTCTCCCAAGCATCCGAACGGTCTCCTGTCAGTGGGCGCCGGGAAGAGAGGATCCCGGGCAGCGCTGCGGGTGCGGCTGCTAACATTGATGTGTTTATTTTTCGATCTTCCAGTCACAAAAAGTACAGGGCCGCCCTGAAGAAGGAGAAAAGGAAGAAGCGTCGACAGGAACTCGCTCGATTGAGAGACTCAGGTATCAATAGGCTCCCTATCCGGTTTTTCTGGGTATGAAATTGCTCGCTCTATTCCCGCCCAAGTTAGGGCCCCAGTGTCGGAAGTCAAGTACTGCATCTGATGAAGAATTGCTGTGACTGCTGTCTTCCAAGTAAAGCTATTTTAGACCCATTTCACAAACAATGTTAATGCCCGAGAGGGGGAGAGTCATGGTTAATCATCATCAACCGATTTTGTATTTATTAAGTACCTAACAGTACAGGTGCAGGAATTATGAATTGCAGCAGCTAGCAAAGCTCTTGTAAATAGTTTTTGGTGGCGAATATATTTCTTTGTAAGCCCAGCATGAGTTGAAAGTTTTAATTAGACACTTTGCAAGTTTTCCCCAAACTTCAGTAATATAAGAGACCCTTTGTTTACTCAAATTATTATTATTATTGTGGTGGTGCTGGTGCTGGAGATTGAATGAACCCAGGGGTGCTTTACCGCTGAGCTACAACCCCAGACCTTTTTATTTTTTATTTTGAGACAGGGTCTTGCTAAGTTGCTGAGGGTCTCACTAAATTGCTGAGGCTGGCCTGGGACTTGGGATCCTCCTGCATCAGCCGCTTGAGTCACTGCGATTATAGGCACGGGCCACAGTGTCCGGTTTGTAGCATAATTTTAGGTATACAGTTACATATATAATACAATTAGATATATTGTGTTTATATGTATCCTCTCATATATTTTGATTGTACATGTACTGAAAATGCTACACTCAGAACTGTTAATGAACACCTCTGTGGAGTGAGTGAGCTTGTTTGGCAGCAGGGGATGGGGAGTTGAGTAAGCCATTCAACAGATACTTGTATCAACTAAATGCCGGCTCTGCCTAGTCTGTGGGCATACCTCGATGCAAGTCAGTCATATCTCTGGTCCTTTACATGCATTAGATCTTAATTTAATTGTCTTAATAATTATGTTAGAACTTAGCCTAAATTTTTTGCCTATTTTAATTACAAGTGCTGAAATAAAGTTTACTTAAGAATAATAAATTATTGTAGTGATCTTGGACTGGGTGAGTCTTTGGTTAGACCTATACTCAATATATGACAGACAAAATCTTTTTCCTTTAAGTTTGTGTTTTTCTGTTACATTTCCTCAAGATAACTTTATCCCCCCACCCCAATTTCACTGTTTTTTTTTTCTCAAAATTAAATTTTTAATAGAAGATGTATTTAAAATTATTTTACCATGTCTTTATTTTAAAATGGTTCCAATGCACAGAAAGTTGAAGAAACACTACAGTAAATACCTATGAACCCTTCTGCTAGTTTTGTCAATTGTTAACATTTGGCCTTATTTTCTCTCTCTTTATATATAGAGATACATACAACATTTTTTCTGAACCCATTACATAGCACTTCACCCCTAAATCCTTAAGCCTGCCTGTTCTAAGAATAAGGATGTTTTCCTGCAGAACCACAATACCAAACTTGTACCTATGTAAATGAAGAGTAATTCAATAGTATGCATGGGTCTTATTGAAACTTTCTCAAACGGGGATTGACTGTTTTGAAAATTTCAAGCCAGTTTTCTTGTGGAATGCTTTGCATTCTGGATTAGTTCATTTTCTTGTTATTAGCATCAGGTAATAAAATTTTTCTCATTATTAGCATCTTTATGCCAAAATGCTACAGAATGCATATTATAAACTTCTTATTGCATACATCATAAGAGCTATAATGACAGGTTGTTCCACTCTGAGTGAACAGAGTGTGCTACTGTAAGTGCACATTTCCCCCTTTACAATTAATCCTCATCTGTGAGATGACATTTTTGAGATGATGTAAATATCCTCATTCCAAGAAACTTTCATCCAATGTTTTTAACATCTTTTTCTGAGTTAAGTAGGAGTTGTAAAAGTGATGATTTTTCTGCTTCAGTCTTTCTACATTTTTTAGTTGCCATTCTTATGTAAAGATGGATGTTCCTTCTTTACATCCCACCACCTTTTTGAGTATCACTAGGGAACCATTGATTAATTTTAAAATTTTGATGTGTTTTCCACTACCATTATTATTATTATTTTGATGGTCACTTTATACCAAATTTAGGCAATTAAAGCCCTTATTATTAGAAAAGCTTAAAAAATTTTTAACATAAAGTTTATAAAGATTATATGTATGTTTTCCCTGAATTATTGACCAAGGATTTGCAATACCCAAAAGTTTAATAAACATTTGAATTTTCTCAGGAGTCTCACAGAAGGAGGAGGAGGAGGAAGAGGAGGAAGCTTTCATTGAAGAACAACAACTAGAAGAAGAGAAGCTGTTGGAAAAAGAGAGGTTAGCACTAAGTGAAATAAAGTGAACTCTGTTATTTTATAGGAATATTATAAGTCTTTAGTAGCTAGTATGGGTTTGTTTTCTGTATAAATTCTTGTATAAAATGGGTCTTATAAAATACTCTGTATAAACTATTTAAAACTAGCTGATGGGCTAAAATTACTTAATATCTTTTTTAAAAATGGAAATATTTTGTACTGTGTTTGCTAATTGATCAATGTTAAAAAATATATAATTAACAAGCATAGGAAGTGAAAGGTCTTTAATAAACAGCACACCCAAAGACAGCCACTACCAAGAAAGAAAATATAAATATCCTGTTCAATTCTCAAATGGCATGATATTTATGCATATTTTTCTATAAATTGCTTTCTTGTTAGACACATAATACATATATTTCATGTTGATACAGGGATCTAATTCAACCATTTTGATGTCAACACAGTATCCATTGTATGGATGTAGCATAATTTATTCTTTATTCATAATATATAGTTCTCTATTGGACTTTCAGGTTATAATGGATTTTACTATTATATAAAAAGTTGCAATAAGCATTGATGCTTATGTATCCTTGGTAATTGTCCTATTGTTTCTTTAGGGAAATGCCATGAAATGAAATTGTGATCAAAAGGATAAGTTCATGTAAAATGAAATTGTGATCAAAGGATAAGCAGAGTTGAAAGGGTATACTGGTTTGCAATTTGTATCACTTTCAGCAGTGAATCAAGGTGACTATGTCCCTATATTTTCAGTCACACTACCAGTTTTTTTAAATGCTGTAGTAAAAAGTTATATTTCATTGTTTCAAAGGTACATTTCCGAATTAGTAAAATTGAATATATTTATGGGTGTTTATTTATTTATTTTTTTTAATTTTTTTTTTGGTCAGCACTGGGGATTGAACACAGGACCTTGTGCATACTAGGCAAGCACTCTACCACTGAGCTCCATCCTCAGGCCTTTTTATTTTATTTTTGAGACAAGTTCTCACCAAGTTGACCAGGCTGTCCTTGAACTTGAGATCTTCCTGCCTCAGCCTCCCAAGTAGCTGGAATTACAGACATGTGCCATTGTGCCTGGCCTTTGTATACATCTTAGATTGCTTAAGTCTTACAGCTTTCTTTTTGGGGATACTTTTTTAAAAATGTATTTTATAAATAATGTTATTACTTGATTAAAGATACTAATTCTTTAACTGTCATGTGTGATATACATTTTTCTCCATCATTGTCAGTCCTAACTTACCTTGTAATTACTTGCTATGATTCGATTTTCATGTTGTCAAATTTCATTATAATATCTGCCCTTGTTGCCTGACTTTAAAAGGTCTCCTCTGTCATGTGATGATGAAAACTTCTATTTTTTTTTTTTTACTATTTTTTTTCAGTGAATAGTTTGTGGCACACACCAATATGAATGTATTTAATGCTATTCAACTGTTCACTTAAAAATGGTTAAAATGGTATATTTTATGGTATGTACTTTTTAACCACAATAAAAAGCAAGCATGATTTTTTTTTAAAAAGAGAATAAACTTTATAGGCATTCTTTAGCTATTTAGCATGATCAGTGGAAGTGTTGCTTGTTTTCTTGTAATTGATTCCTGTTATCTACCAAGGTACAGAAGTAGATGGAATTATCAAAATGTCAAAATATGTATGGAATGAAATAGGGAAGTAATTTTTGTTTTCCTACTTGAAATCCATCTTTTAAATTATATACATGTGTCTTTGTTGTCCTTGGATCTTTTGTTTATTCCTATATGAATATGCATACTCTAACTAATGTTGAAAAACAGGGAAATTAATGATAGGAAAGTACCATATGGATTTATGTCCTATTTTAAAGCAGATGAATAGTATATTCAAGTTATTAAATACTAAAATTTTTAACATCTTAATAATGTGGTCCTAAATTTATATATCATTTGGTTCAGTTATATACAATTAATATGTTTCTCAAAAGATTCGTAAGTCAGAGTTCTGCACACTGAAACATCTATATGGTTCCCTAAAGCACACATAGGAACTTTAAAATATGTAATTCACAGCCTCTACTATAGCTAAAATATGTGTTCCTGGAATCTGCAGTTAGAAATGGAACATATTTTCTTAGAATATTTGAAATTGTGGTTAGGTCCCCAGGCTAGACATAAAACCATATATAGCTCCTAAAGTTGCTGTAGTAATAATAGAACAATTTCTCATGTTCCATTTCTAGTCTTCAAAAATCAGTGGGAAAATGAAATCTAAGTTCTAAACACCTGATTAGCAAATAAACTTTGTAAATATAACCCCCTTTTAAGTTAGAAACTTGTGATATCATATATCTGAGACTCTTGCCACTTTAAGATAACATCACTTCTTATAATTAGTCATTTAAAAAAAAATCAACTAGACACCATTTTTTTAAACTTCTTTTCATCTTAAAACCAATAGCTTTCTTTATTTTAAAGACATGCTCATAGTGTAATTTTTTTTTTTCTTTTTTTCAGCAGTTTAGATGTTTCAAGGCAAACCACAAGAATCTCTTAACTATGTGGAGTAGTAGTCCAAGGTTCATGGCAAACCAGGTTTTCATAGTGCTACAGTCATAGAGTTGCCATATTTTTAAATGCTTAGAATGGGAAATATAGTGCTTTCATAATGTGAAAAGCTAAATGTTGCTTCAAAACTTGTTACCCACTTGTTTGCACCTAAACATTAGTGTGATTAGCCTAAAGGGGAAGTCATAGTCTTTTTTTTTTTTTTTACATAGAAGATGTCATAGTCACACACACTTATGAAACAGAATGAGTGATTGTAGCTTATTACTGTCTAGGAAGATACTTGCTGATAATTAGTCCTTTTTTTCTTTTTTTTTTTTTTTTTGTAATTGTAAATGGACAAAATGCTTTTATTTGTTTATTTTTATGTGGTGCTGAGGATCGAACCCAGTGCCTCACACATGCTAGGCAAATGCTCTACCACTGAGCCACAGCCCCAACTCCTGATACTTAGTTTTTGTCCAAATTTTTTAAGATATCTTTTTGTTCTCTTACCCCATTTTACTGATTTATAGAAAATACATTTCATGATATTTTAATCATTCTCCAAACATGTCTTTTTTGTTTCTTTTTGCTATCTTGTGTGTGTGTAGATTAATTCCCATTTATTTGATTACATCATTAATTAATAGGCAAAAATTACATGAGGAATGGTTGCTAAGGGAGCAGAAGGCACAAGAAGAATTCAGAATGAAGAAGGAAAAGGAAGAGGCAGCCAGAAAACGGCAGGAAGAACAAGAGGTACAGTATTAATCAAATAACCAATTAACTAAATAGTTAACCAAAATATCTCTCAGTTGCATATCTGGGCTGGGGTTGTAGCTCAGTGGTAGAGTGCTTGTCTAGCATCTGTGAGGCACTGGGTTCAATTCTCAGCACCATATATAAATATAATAAAGGTCCATCAACAACTAAAAAAAATATATTAAAAAAAAAAGAGTTGCATATCTTTCCGGCTATGGTGGTGCATACCTATAATCCCAGCAACTTGGCAGGCTGGGGCAGGAGAATTGCAAGTTCGAGCCAGCCTCTGCAATCTAGTGAGATCCTGTCTCAAAATAAAAAAATTTAAAAAGGCTGGGGATATAGCTTGGTGATAAAGTATCCCTGGATTCAATCCCTAGTACCAAATATATATATATATATATATATATATATATATATATATATAGTCCTTTTTACCAATATTTTTAGTTTTTCTTTTCATTTATTTGCTCTCTATGTTAAATGTTTTTTAAAAGTAAGTCTGAAAAGAAATGACCTTTCCTTCTCTCTTTTTTTTTTTTCCTTTAAAGAGAAAGTTAAAGGAAGAATGGGAAGAACAGCAGAGAAAAGAGAGAGAAGAGGAGGAGCAGAAGCTACAGGAGAAGAGAGAAAGAGAGGTGATTCCTGTCACAGGAGGATAGGCGCTGCGTATCTTCTTAGTGTGCACATGTGCTGGGTGATGGGTTTGAAGAAAAAGCTGTGGGCATGTCAGGGTTTGGATTTTTTTCTTGTTTCTTGTTTCATTTGTTTGGAAAGAGACTTTTCATCTAGAAACACACTAATTTCTTTGTGATGTTCTTCTTTGGGTCATTCAGTGACAGATTCCTTAAATTAAGGTTTTCTTTAGCTTTTACCCAGTTTGCCCTTTATACCAGCAATTAGCAAATTTTTTCCTTGAAGGGCCAGATACCAATATTTTAGGCTTTGTGGTCTATATGGAACCAGCTCTGCCAGTGTACCCTGAAAACAGCCATAGGTAATATGTAAACAAATGGTTAAGGTGTTCTAGTAAAACATTTCTACAAAACAGTCAGCTGGCTCATGCTTTGTTCTGTGTACCACTCTATAGCAAGTCATGTTTTTTGAGGTTTTGTTGTATATGTGTTGACTTCTTTAGAGAATATTTATATTGTTTCCACATTTATTTAGTTCTTAAGAAATTGAACAGCTTATGACACATCAATAAGAATTAGTTGACTTAAAGAAATCAGGAGCTCAAATAATGAGGCATTATTTAAACATTTTTTTTTAAACTGTTATTAAATCATGACTTTCTAACTTGGGCTATAAAGATAATTGTAGCTAACACACAGTTGTCATTTTAAAAAAATGATAATATGTTTGTATGTATGTATTATCTATATTTTCCAGGATTCTCTTTTAAAGATTGACTTTGTTTGCTATGCTGTTATTCCTTAACAGTGTATTTATTTCAAAGATAACACAGCTCATCTTTCCTTGACTGATTCATCAGGATGTATCTTTTTTGGAATATTGCTAAATTTGAATAGAGTCAAATTGGGTAATCAACTTATAATGGGGAAAATACATTTGTTTACATCCTAATCATGTTGGGGTAGAAGCAGCTTCCAATGCCTATATTTTTTGAGTCTCAGGCATTAGTTTCAGTGCAAATTTTTGATACCCTTATTTGAACACTGCTTTTGAGATGAAGCAACATAACATGGTAGGTTTTTAGGGAGGTGCAGAAATTATTTGGAGCTTATCATATTTTATAGAGAGAAATCAATTTCTGTCTTAATGGTAGAATATTCTTTTAGGGATCAAATAAAAACTAATGCTTCTTTTATGCTTTTGTTTCAAAGGAAGTCTGGTTAAATATTAAAGAGAAGTGGGTCAAACAAAATAAATTCTGAGCATATATGAAGGAATATGGGCTGTGGATATGGCTTAAAAATGGAGCTCAGCAGTAGAGTAGTGTTTACCCACTATGTGTGGGGTTCTGGGCATGATCCCTAGCATGAGGGGAGAACATGCAATGTATGTTTCTGTTGTATACATTTCTGTTGTGTATATGACACTTCTCTGGTGGACAGAAATAGAGCAGTGAAAAAGCACACAGTCTGTTCTCATTGAGGTACTTTTCTAGATGGGGAGTCAGATGATAAGTAAACAAAACACATAACTTAAAATACAATAAGATAATGTTAAATGCTATAAAGGAAGAAAGCAGAGAGTCATGTGATAGAGTGATGGGGACAGGGGAGTACTTATTTAGATTGCCAGGTTTAGGAAGTCTCTGAAGAGGTAATGTTTGAATTGACACCTGAGTGCAGAGATCTTGGGGAGAAGAGGCTTGGAAGTGGAAAGAAGGGCAGGGTACTCAAAACATAGAGACTAAAGAAAAGTGAGTCAGGGTATCCTGAGAAGTCAGGAGGGTACGAAGTCTGATTATGCAAGGCCTTTTGGATTTGAAGGAGTTTGGATTTTATGTTAAGTGTAATCAATGGAAAGACATTAAAAGGATTTTTTTTTTTAAGCCAGAAGTGACTTCATCCCATTTGTAATATTATATTCAATAGATCATTCTAACTTTTCATACAAAGAATGGGGGATGGTGAACAGTGACCAAGGAAGCGAGAGGGAAACAGTGTAACCAGTTTCAAGGCTGCCATTCCAGATGGGAGACAACAGTGGTTTGGATGAGGGTACTGCTTTAAAAAGATAAGTTCACAGATTTGGAGTGCTGCGAGGCAGAGTTAACAGAACTCTAGCTGGCAGATTGAATGGGAGAGAAAGAGAAGGAAAGTGAGGGGAATTCACGTCCTATTTTTAGTTTTTGTTTTGTTTAGTTTTCAAGTCCTAGTTTTAGTTTTTTTGTTTGAACAGATGGGCAAATGGCAGCACCAGTTAGTGAGAGGGATATTTAGGTAGGCGGGTGGAGGAGGACAACCAGTTCTGTTTGGGGTCTAGCATATAGCATATGGCTCTGGGTTCAATCCCTAGCAGGAGGGGTGGGTAGACCTCTGTTGTGAGCCTTTTAAGTTACCAAGGACTCTTCCATGACCAGGTAGGTATCAAGTAAGCAGCTAGATACATAAGTCTTATGTATTGCTTTAAGGAGCTAGTAAAGAAAAGTCTGTAGAACATAATTTAAAGCTTCTTCAAATACCAATTAGGTAGAAATTTACTAGCATATTGCAAGACTCCCTTTGCCTTATTTAAAAGTTTGAAATTTCTCATAAATCCTAGTTACTACTGGTCATAGTTTAGCTTCTGTTAAATATTTATAATGTTTTACCTAGTATTGTATTTTATAATATTAATTAATAAATTATCTTAAAACTAGAAGGTGATATAGATACTCAAATATACTAAATAATACTGTTACTGAAACTATTATATTTTAAACCTTTTTCAATCTGATCTAGTCAGTTTTCTATTTGAATAAAAATTCTAAGCTATATGTCCTTTGAAAGCTTTTCAGAAGATTTGTGCTTAGAAAGAAAATCAAAACCTAAAACCACGTGTATGTAGGTAGGTGTGTGTGTATGTGTATGTGTGTGTGTGTTTTAATTATTACACATTAGATTCTTAACCAGAGAAACCAGATGTGACTTACCTGACTTCCAGGTTTTCATTAGTCCTATGTTTGCACCATTTATAGGAAGCTGTGCAGAAGATGCTGGATCAGGCTGAAAATGAGGTATTTTCATAACCTTTCATTAAGAATTTGAGATCAGTTTATATTTCATTAGAAACAATAATTTCAGTAATGTTAGTTTGGTGGTAGGCTATTTAGATCACACCTGGATATCTGGAATCACTTTTGTGGCATTTTAGTGTATATGACAATAAGTTTATTAATGAACAAAAACAAGTGGTATTGAATCACCCTATGAACTATACTTATTTTGAGTCCTTAAGTGTGTATAAACAACATCACATACTATTAGCCTCAAATGGTCAGTTTACCTCGATTGAGAGTAACTTTTACTTTTCTCATGTTGGCTCCGTAAGTCTTTGGGTCCTCTTCAGAATAGATGAACAGAAAGGAAACCTGGTAGCAGTAGTGATACCTGATCAAGCAAAGTGACTGGGCAGCAGAGAAATTTATAACTTAAATATGAATGATTTTAACTGAAAACATTTTAATTTTTGATGGAAGCATTTGAATATTTTTGGAAACATTGAGTCTTTCATGGGTTTTTATACCACAAGTAAAGTTATGGTTATTTTCAACAGCTGGAAAATGGTACCACCTGGCAGAACCCAGAACCACCAGCAGATTTAAGAATAATGGAGAAAGATCGTGCCAATTGTCCATTCTACAGTAAAACGGGAGCTTGCAGATTTGGAGATAGGTAACATATTTTGCTTTATCATGTCAGAATGAAGTGATTCAAAATGGGAGGTTTTTGAGTACTCCTTTGGGGAGTGGCTCAATTTGAAATCATCAGGCCTCTGCTGCTTTTTTGCTGCCTCTGTCTCCTAAGCTGGTCATCCTCTGTACCCACCCTCTTCCCTAGGTGGGCTGAGCAGGGTGTGTCCTTTGTATTCTCTCTTTAACCTTTTGTTCGTTGGTTTCTTCCTGTGCTCATGTGAGTCCACAGTGAACAACTTGGACAGGGAAATTATTGGAGCAGCTGGCCTTTATCTTTCGAATGGTAAACACTGTGCCCAAAATAGACTTTTAAAACTTGACATGAGTAAAGGGACTCAGAAACAGACTCCTGGGTTCAAAAACTGGCTTCAGTAGCCTTCTCTTCAGAATCGTTATTTAAACAATCTGTGATTTAATTCCCCTCATGTGTGAAATGGGGTAGAAACACAGTATCATCCTTCTGAGGGGGCTGTGAGGCCGGAAGGAGTGAAGGAGTGAATGCCTGGCAAGCGCAAGGGACCACAGTGAGCACTGGGTGTTCTCTGGTGTTTTCATTATTGCTACGGTTGCCATCATTCTCTGATACATTCTTGCTCCTTGCCTCTTTTGGGATAATGATTTTGAAACAAGACATTCATTCATGTGGAAACCTAATGTTGATCTTTTCAGTCATTTAGCAAACATTTAAACACCTAGCTTATGCCAGGTAATGGTGATTTTTGTAATTTGGCTTATTTATGAATGAACAACTCCAAATTTCTAAGGGTGAATGAGTCTATTTGAAGCAAAATCTAATTATTTATCCTGTGGAAGAGAAGATCTAATGTCTTATTAATCCCTAAAAAGGGATATGAGTAGGGAAATTCATATGTATTTAATAAATATCTATATGTTGTCTCAGGTTTTTTTTGACTCATAAAATTGTCCATGGCCTGAGCCCCCCACCCTCCTGCTTCTTTGAAAATATGAGCTTTCTCTAGCTTTGTCTTTCTTCCTTTCTTTCTTTCTTTCTTTTTCTTTTCTTTTCTTTCTTTCTTTTGTTTTAATTTAAGCCTTCACACCATTTTTCATTTTTTAAGATTAATGGTTCTCAACCCTGGATGCATATTAGAATCATCTAGGAAGCTTTCAAAACTTATGTCCCCCACCTCAAATTGAATAATTCAGAATCTTAGAGACTCAAATGGCCTTAGTTTTGAAATGTCCTCATGTATTTCTAATGTGCCCCGGGATTGATGTCCAATATGTAACTCCCTTTATATTTTATGGCTGGGATTTTAGATGCCCAGAATACCTATAAAAGGACTTACAGGATCTGATATCTAGTAGAAAACCTCCTCTTGAGGAACTAGGGACTAAGGAAACTTTGTTCCCTTTGGTATCTTTAGAAGCATTTCCCATATGTACATTTAATCTTATCAAGAAACAGTAATAGGGCTGGGGATGTGGCCAGTGGTAGAGCGCTTGCCTAGCACATGTGAGGCACTGGGTTCAATCCTTAGCACCACATAAAAATAAGTAAAATAAAGGTATTGTGTTCATCTACAATTAAAAATTAAAAAAAGAAACAGTAATAATTAATATACAACAATTCCTACCAAAGAAAAACATACAGCAAATTACCTTTGTTGAGACAACTGAGTCAATTTGAATTCACATTTATGTGGGTAGTTGAACCAAGTGGTCTTTTCCAGCCCAAGGATCCCTTGTTATATATATATATTTTTAAAATATATATATATTTTTAGTTGTAGTTGGACACAATGTTTTTATTTATTTATTTATTTTTACTTTATTTGTTTATTTCTATGTGGTGCTGAGGATTGAACCCAGGGCCTTACACACACCAGGCTACCACTGAGCCACTACTCCAGCCCCTTATTTATTTATTTTTATGTGGTGCTGAGGATCGAACCCAGCTCCTTGCATGTGCTAGGCCAGTGCTCTACCACTGAGCCACAATCCCAGCCCTTGTTATATATCTTTAACACTTCTTTGAAATTTGAGACTTAAGGAAGCCTGAATCTGGATTCTTCTTCTGTTGGACCTAAGTGAGAGAAGGGGCAATGTCTTAAATGGTTGACACCCACTTCTTTGAGGAAAGGGGAGTGGCCTATTAGACTCTGATCCCATCTGAAAGTCATTTCAAGGAAATATGGACTGTAGTCACATTAGTTTGTGACCAATTTTCTTTTTCCTTTCTTGTGGTAGTAAAGATTGAACCTGGGGTATTTTACCACTGAGCTACATCCCTGGCCCTTTAAAAAAATTTTTTTAATGGTGATATTAAAAAAAAAAAATCTTCTATTTATTTATTTTTATGTGGTGCTGAGGATCGAACCCAGCGCCTCATGCATGCGAAGCAAGCACTCCACCACTGAGCTACAACCCCAGCCCAGCCCATTTTATTTTGAATTGCTGAGGCTGGCCTCAAACTTTAAATCCTCCTGCCTCCAGAGTTGCTTGTATTACAGGTGTGCACCACTGCACCCAGCAGTTTGTGACCACTTCTTACTGTTTTCATAGGCTATGAAATTTCACTACTATAATTATCAAAATATGAGAGTGATTCAGGTATTTGCATTGTTTAAATGATGAGTTGTGACATAAAATTCTGTAAAATTAGCAGTTAGGAAACCTAGCCCCATTGCTTCAGACAAGTACATTGTCCACTTTTACAGAGAGCCTTGGTGATTTGCTTCAGTTGATATAGCTGTTCTTTTCTTTAAGATTTGTCAGATTGTCACAGAAACACTTCCTTAACCTACACATTTCTTTGGTTGTTTTTGTAATTAGTACGGAATCCAATTAGAACATTTCTAGAACTGATGTTTTTTTTTTCAAATGACAACTCCTTTGAAAGGAATTTTATTGTTGTTTTCTTCTTAAAACAACATAATCACTGAGGAATTATTTACACCCCACCTACTTCCAGAAGTGATTTAAAGAAGGCTCATGATCAACTACATTAAGTTAAATTAAATAAAGGAAATTGAAAGCAAGGGAAGGAGGGGAAAGTGAGTTATTGTGAATGTATGATGCTTCTGACTCTGGATTTTAATGCATCCCATGCAGATACTAAGCTGTATGTTTCTTACTAAAAAAGAAGAATGAATAGTATCTCTGGAAAGACAAAATTTTCTTGGCACCCGATTCTTTTTTTTTTTTTAATTTTTAGTTGTATATTGACATGATACCTTTATTTTATTTATCGATGTGGTGCTCAGGATCGAACCCCGTGCCCCACATATGCAAGGTAAGTGCTCTATCACAGAGCCACAACCCCAACCCTTGGCACCTGATTCTAAATGTGTCTCCCATGGAATCTTGGATAAAGGCATTAGATAGGAAGATGGACAGTAACTTTGATAGATTTTTTTTTTTAACACAATGCCTTTATTTATTTATTTTTTTTATGTGGTGCTGAGGATCGAACCCCAGTCCCGCCCGTGCTAGGCGAGCGTTCTACCGCTGAGCCACAATCCCAGCCCCAAATTTTTTATTTTTATTTTATTTTATTTTTTTGGTGGTGCTGGGGCCTTGTGCATGTGAGGTAAGTACTCTACCAACTGAGCTATATCCCCAGCCCTGATAGAAGTTTTATAACAGTTGATGTGTAGTTTTCATGAGAATGTTTCTTACAGTGACCTTTGCTAAATGATTACAGCCCACCTTTCACATGCAGCATAGTGATTCTATGAAAGACAAAGGTTGTGAGCACCAGAAATGCTCCCTTGAGATAAGGAAAAAGAAGAATAGCCAGTTAGTTGTTCCTGAGGGGTCCATTAGATACCCACACAATTTATTGGCATGCTTGGGCTAAATAATGTTCAACTCTGTGTTTTTGTGGCAGTTTGACTTGATTCAGGTATCAGTATCATGGGTAAATAGCATGCCAAATCTGGCTAATCATCAGGACCTGGTGAGGTGGTATTTCAAAAATATGGGTTCTCTACCCCTTGAGCTCTGGGGCAGACTGGAGAAATCTCTCTTCCAAGTAATTCTGAGAACCACACAGCCTTGGTACCATAGCATTAAACTCCTTCCTACATATTAGCTTTTTTAGCTGACCTTTCTGTGGGGGGTCTAGGGCTGCCTTTTGAATACCCTCAGATTGTAATGACTGTCTCCAGGCCAAGCGGGGATTTTCCCTACACAGGGACTTTGACTCTATTCTAAAACTGATGAATATTCATTTGACACCCTGGGAACTAAGGCCAGTTTTATTCAGATCTAACAACCCCGTCAGCAGAATTTTAACCTCGTTAAGTTGTTTCCTTGTCTAATTCCCTCTATATGTGCTTCATACTTATAAAATTTAATTTACCACAAACATTGCTGGCCAGGTTGAATCCTTGCTCTTAGTGCTGTCAGTAGCAGTACTTGGGAATATGGATCTAATTACAAGGTCTCTAATTGAATAATCAAGAAGGTCATTTGGAATATAGAAAATTTCACATTAATGAGCATTGGTGGAACATTTCTAAGTTGGGCATGGTGTGTGTTGTGCATTCTCACAGGTGTATAGATGGATATTACAGCTGTGGAAAGCAAGCATGAGTAACAGTCACTTCAGGGTCAAGGATTTTCCTAAATACTTGCCTTATTCTTTAACTTTTTGTCTTACTGATTTAAAAAAAAAATTTTTTTGTTGTAGATGAACACAATACCTTTATTTATTTTTTAAAAAATATTTTTATTTTTCAATTGTAGTTGGATACAATACCTTTTATTTATTTATTTATTTATTTATTTATTTATTTATTTTTATGTGGTGCTGAGGATCAAACCCAGGGCCTTGCACATGCTAGGTGAGCGCTCTACTGCTGAGCCCCAGCCCCAGCCCCACAATACCTTTATTTTATTTATGTATTTTTATGTGGTGCTGAGGATCAAACCCAGTACCCACATGTGCTAGGCAAGTGCTCTACCACCGAGGCACAACCCCACTCCTGTCTTATTGATTTTTAACTAGAAGCCTAACAAAGAAATTTTGTTTATTTAGAACTTTGAATTATATATTTCTTTCCCACTTTAGAAAAAGGAAGCAAATAAAAAATTAAATTCATATAAAGGATTTTAAGAAGAATTGTTCACATGGAGTCTCATCAGCTTTTCCTTGTTCCAGTTTAAACTGTGAAAAGAAAATTCTTCATAGTGATTAGCCTTCATTAAATAAAAATTATATTTATTGTACTCTATAATGAACAGGCACCAGATTGTAGGTTAACTCAGATCTCCCAGATCTGTCTCTTCCAACCATATGACCTGGGCAGATGGGCTTCTCTAGGTTTCAGTTTCTTTCTTTCCAAAGTGGGGATAGTACTAGTACCAATTGTCCTGAAGGTTTTAAGAATCAGAGGTAAAAATGGAGTGAAAACTCTAAAGTGCTAATCATAGATGAGATTAAAATTCTCTACTCATTGAAAATTCTTAGATTGCCCTATTCTCTATGCATGTAAATTAACTGAAGATCATGTAGTACCAAGATTCTATTGTTAATTTTGCTATCTTCCCAAGAGTCCCACGTGTGGCATCTCATGCCTGTCACCATACTCTGTCATACCAGTGGGGCTTTCTTTTTCCCTATAGCTCAACATATAAAAAGCTTTCTATTTACTTTCTTTTGGTGTTGGTGGTGGGGTACTGAGCATCAAACCCAGGGCCTCATGCGTGCTAGGCAAGCATTCTACCCATGAGACACATCCCCAGCATTAAAAAAAAAAAAAAATTACTGAATTTCATGGCATATGAAGTTGAAAATCATTTACAGTCTGAGATCTGTGTGTGTGTGTGTATGTGTGTGTGTGTGTGTGCGTGTGCGCGCTACTGGGAATTGATGCAGGGGTGCTGTACCACTGACCTACGCCCCCATCCCTTTTTTATTCTTATTTTGAGACAGGGTCTCGCTAAGTTTCCGAGGCTGGCCTCGAACTTGCGATCCTCCTGCCTCAGCCTTCCAAGTTGCTGGGATTACAGGTGTGTGGATTACAGGTGTACACCACTGCACCGGGCCCAATCTGTCATTTTAATGAGAAGCCAATATATTGGTCAATCTTATAACAGTTTTCTCACATGCTGAAACTTGACATCTGAGTAGGATTTATCTTCCAGGCAAGTCAAAACAGCTAAGTTACTTGAGTCTTTATCTCTTAAGTTTTTTACAAATGATTTTTAACTATTGGACTAGTGAATTGTTTTTTTTTTTTTTCATATGCAGGTGCTCACGTAAGCATAACTTTCCTGCATCAAGTCCCACCCTTCTTATTAAAAGTATGTTTACTACATTTGGAATGGAGCAGTGCAGGAGAGATGACTATGACCCTGACGCAAGCCTGGAATATAGCGAAGAGGAAACCTACCAACAGTTCCTAGACTTCTATGATGATGTGCTGCCTGAGTTCAAGAATGTGGGGAAAGTGATTCAGTTCAAGGTGAGTGTATGTGGAGAGGACTGTTGTGCCTCCCTCTGAAGTATTCAGTGCATGAGAGAGCTGGGGCCCAGGCTGTTTACCTGGGTGGAGCCGTGTGCCAATACATGCCTGGCCCAGGATCAGGCCCTCAGTAAATGTCACTTACTTCATCACTTTTCCTTTTCCACCTCCACTCTGGTGCCATATAGATGCCATAAAAAAAGGAATCATGCCATATAGATACCACATGAAATCATAAGTGTGTATTAGTGTGAAATTTCTGGACTAGTGGGGTCTGGGTTGGTGAGGATTTTTTGTTTATTCAGTACCTTTGTGCTGTTTGAATTCTTTTCCTGTTGGAACTCTGTATCAGGTCCTTGCACATAGCTGCCCAAGCTTTCACTTAAACACTGCCTTTGGTGGGCAGTGTATCCCTTCCTTCCTCTGTAGGCACTTTACCTAGAGCTGTGGTGATGCAGCAGGACTCAGCTTCACTCCCTGAGCATGTTGGTGCACTGTGTTGATGGTGCCTGCTTGCATCTTCTGCCCAAGATGCTCGTTCTTGGTTCTGGAACTACACAAGAAACATAGATCTTTTGATTTCTTTTCTTTTTTAACATTATTTTTATTCATTGGCTACTTTCAGTACTGAACATAGCATCACCAAAACCATGGTTTGTGATGACGTATACTAGATAAGAAAGAGGCATTCAGATGACACATAATTATTTTAAAACCTTGAAGGTCAGATGTGATCCCTGCTGCTCCTGGGACCCATTAGTTGAATCCTAACAATGAAGCCTCCTAACCTGTTTATTTGATCAGATTTGAACCTGAATGACTTTGTTTTGTTAGGGCAAGAAAAATGTCCCTTAGCTTGGGAAAAAAAAAACAAAACACAAATAAATCTATGATATTTGTCTGCAATTGGAAATGACAGTAAAGAGTTGGAACAGCTGAGAAACAGATATATTCATGAAATTCAAGGCCATGCTTCTATTAACTGATGTGAAGATCTTTCAAAATTCTTTTAAGATTTCTTTCCCACTTAACCTTTTGTTTCTGTGGAGTATGCCTTCCTGTCTTGGTGCTGCTCAGCACAAGCAATAACCAGTAAGTGGAAGTGCATGGTCACACCTACAAGACACCACCTTGAAGCAAGCACCAGCTGTGGAAGCAGTGTGGTTTGACCAGGCCTGTGCTCTCAGACTTGTCACTTTATCTTTAAGTGCTTTTTCACTTACATCAGTGGTGTCCCTCATGCGATTCTTGGATCATACTGTTTCTGTGATATGGTAGTGGTAGAGCTGCTTTTAAAACTTCAGACTGGTTAATGGAAATCATACCATTACCTGTGATAGGCTGCATCCACTGACCATGACATTAGGATGACCAAGCTCATGCTAATCACATTGGCAGTTACAAAAGGAAAGCTATTTAGTAAATTTTTACAGGGAGAAATTTTAGAATATCAAATTTGTTACAGAAAATTAATAGCAGGTCCTTGGGAACCATTGGATTAAATAATCTTAAAGGTCTCTGGCACAGCTGACACTCCTTAGGACTTTCATTCTTCCTTTTAAGGATGGTGTTGCAAACTGTCATTGAGTATGGATCCTGCCCATTTTGGGATGCTCTAATAAAAATGCTCTGGAACAGATTTGTAAAATTATAGATTAATTTGGAAGAGAAAAACTAAACACCAGTCAGTATATTTGAGTACCTTCTTATATACCATATTAAAAAATAAACTTGTCATTTTTGAAGACAAATGATCAAGTATTCCTAGTAATTCCTAGTAATAAGAATAATGCATATAAAAGTCAGATATTATTCACACCTATTGGCCAAAAGATTATAAATTCTATTGATCCCAAGAGTAGGTAAGGATGTATATATTAGTTAAACTTCTTCAGAGAGCAGTTTGTCAATAGTTTGTGAAGTGGAAGGCACAGCTAAACTACACATTGGCATGTTCCTTCTGGTTGTGCACACTAGAGAGGTCCTTACACCCACAGAAGTGTGTTGAAGAATGCTGACCACAGTGCTATTTGTGGATAGAAAATTGGAAGCACCTCAGTAGCCATCATTAGAGGAGCAGATATATAAATTTGCTAATTTGATGTATCAGATAAGTCATTAAGTTTACACTATTATATCTTGAAAAAAGAATGTAGAACAAATATAATTTTTAGAAAGTTTTAAAACATACAAAACAAAGATATACATTGTTTATTAATACATATGCATATTTCCTTGCATATATATGCAGAAATATGTGTATTACAATATATGTGTGAATGTGTGTGTGTGTATGTATGTACATTGTGTCTGTGTAAATCTATATATGTATATGTGCATTAGTGTTTCTGTTTAGTAAAACAGGCTACCCCCAGCCTCCAGGTAGTGCCCACCTATGTGATGGAGAAGGGAAAAGATCAGGATGGCAGGATTTCAACTGGGCCTTCAATGTTTTACTGTTTAAACATTCTTGGTCAAGAATGAAAAATGTTAGTGTTAAACCTGGGTAGTGTTGTCTATGGATTGATTTACATTCTCTGTATTTTTATGCATGTGTGAAACATACTTATGGGTAAAAGCAGAACTGATCAACAAGAGATTAGATAATTGGGGCCTGCAGTGCTTCTCTGTGCTGAAGTATGCCTTAAATAGACACAAGAGTGGGCTAGTGTCTCTGTTTTGGAATCTTTGATTAGTAATTACTTTTGGGAATGTTAGCCTGGCAAAGCATTTGATGACTGAATGGTTTTGTTAAATTTTTTATGATAGCATTTTTCATTGTTCCTTAGGTTAGCTGCAACTTAGAACCTCATCTGAGGGGCAATGTGTATGTTCAGTACCAGTCGTAAGTATTGTGACCATGCCATGTTTTGTCATGGTATGATCTTTTGTTTTTGTGGACATCTAGGACTTTTAAACTGGATATATACCCTTCATATGCATGGTATTTTTCAAAATGTTAATATTAAGAGCTGACATAAAAACATAGAAGACATGTGAAAATAATACATTTGTATTTCATTCTTTAAATATTAGCATAGTTTTGAATCTTTTACAATATGGTTATATTATTACTTATATAACTTTAATTAAAGTTCAAACTGAAAAGGGATAACTAGAATAGAGAATATAAAATATAAATGTAAAAAGCCAGAGATCGAAGTCCCAAATGATCTCAGTGTGCATTTGACCAGCTAGGAGAATAGTTACTCTATCATTTCTGCTTGTCTTGCTGTTTCCCTAGGCCGCACCATGCCTAATGGGTTCAATTAGCCATTGTAATAAGGAGCACAGCAGCCCTAGCTAAGAAAGCACAGGCTCTAACAATGGAAAGCACTTCTGCAGTTTTAATGGCCCAGTCTTTTGGATTAAGAAGCTTTGACTCAAGCCAATTTCCATGCATCACAACCTCTCAGAGGGTTAGTAAAAAAGGCTCCTGAATAAATTTCAAGCTGCAGGAGCCAGAATGTTCTAATGAAGACTCCCTAGGTAGTACAGAAACAGCAAACTTGGTGGTCCTATGATACCTGAGTAAAAGGGTTAATTAATAATAGGGTTAATGTGCCTATTAGAGTTATTATAAAGCACATCCTTTGATTTTTTTTATTCAAAGGGAAGAAGAATGCCAAGCAGCCCTTGCTCTGTTTAATGGACGTTGGTATGCAGGACGGCAGCTTCAGTGTGAATTTTGCCCAGTGACCCGATGGAAAATGGCAATTTGTGGTAAGAAACAACATAATGATTCCCCCCCCCCCCCAATTATCCCACTATATAAAAGGATATTAGGGGGAAAAAAGTTCTTTTAAAAGGATGAGACATTGCTTTTGCTTCATGCAGATGAACAGGGACATCATGTAAAGGACACTGCAGTTTTGATCTGTAATAGACCTTGTGGGTCACTTGGTGGAGGAGGTGACTGAGGTCACAATGAGGTGGCAGAAGTGGGGTAGAATTTCAGTCTTCCAATCTTCAGCCCTAGACTCTTTTCTGACAAATCACGAAGCCTAAGAAGTGTCTGCAGGCAGCCATGTTGTCCTTATGGCAGTTTCAGAGGTGTTTTCTATTCATTGGTTCTCTTCACTTGAGCTGTTTGTTTCCATCTTTTTTCTCTAAAACATCTTTCTCCTTTACCATAAACATTACCTATAGATAATGTTTCCCATCTTTGGAAATCATGCTCTTGTGCATTAGAAACCAAATGGGAGGTATAGGATTAGTTAAGTGTGCGTTTGATGAGTTCAGTTACACTGACTCATGGGGCAGTGGCAACGGAACCAGGAAGTGATTCAGCACTGTGTAGGACAGAGCCTGCAGTATTGAAGTCCTAGTTATTTTCCGATTTCTAAAAATGGGCTTGGCTGAATCCGTGTGCAAATTTCCCAGGTGAGAACGGATGATGTTCTGATGCCTCAGGAGTGCACTTATCCTTCCCTTTACTTGTGTTTCTTGGCTCAATGCTTTCACCTGCTTAAAATCTCAGTAAAAAATATATATAATTTATAAAGTCTGAATCTTTAGCAATCTTATCTTAATGGATACTGTCATTTTAAAACCACTTATGAAGCAGGGGAGAGATTTTAGAATTCCTTGCTTAGGGAAACCAGAAGAACCATTAAATATCAAGTTTAAAGGCTCTGGGAATGAAAGTGATGGAATTGTTTTCTCCATGATTGTTTCTTTTGCCAGTTTGTGTGAATCCAGTGTGATTTCATGAGGTGCTTCTGAGTATAGCTTTAACTCTGCCAAAGCAAGAGACTATATTATTATTTTTGTGGTATTGCGGATTGAACTCAGGGCCTTGTGCATTAGGCAAGTATTCCACCACTGAGCTCTCCCCTCAAAACCCCCATCCCATTTTTTAATATTTATTTATTTGTTTGTTTGTTTATTTTTTTTTTAGTTGTAGACAGGCACAATATCTTTATTTATTTATTTTTATGTGGTGCTGAGGCTCAAACCCAGTGCCTCACATATTCGAGGCAAGCGCTGTACCACTGAGCTATAAGCCCCAGCCTCCTTCCCCTCCCATTTTAAAAATAACAGCTTTGTTGTTTTTCTTAGTGGCTAATGACCTTGAACATCTTTTTGTGTCTTTATTATTGGCCATTTCTATATCTTCTTTGGAGAAGTATCTATTTAGATCCTTAATCCATTTTTAATCAGGTTGTTTCTTCTTTTATTACTGAGTTCTTGATGTATTCTATATGCAAGTACCTGATCATAAATATGATCTGCAGGGCTGGGGTTGTGGCTCAGTGGTAGAGTGCTCGCCTAGCATGTGTGAGGCACTGGGTTTGATTCTCAGCACCACATATAAATAAATAAAATAAAGGTATTGTGTCCACCTACAACTAAAAATATATATATTAAAAAATTATGATCTGCAAATATTTTCCCCTATTCTGTGGGTTGTCTTTTTACTTTTGTGTTCTTTGAAGCACAAAAGATTTTTATTTTATTTTTTTCAGTATTGGAGATTGAACACAGGGGCACTATACCTGACTCAGCTATCTCTCGATCCCTTTTCATTTTTTATTTTGAGGCAGGCTTTTGCTAAGTTGCATCGACTGGCTTCAAATTTGCAATCCTCTGTGTCAACCTCCTGAGTAGCTAGGATTATTGGTGTGTGCCACCATGCCTGGCATTATTTTATTTTAATGAAGTCCAACTTTCTTTCTTTTGGGGGGACTGGTATTTCTGGTATCATATCTAGGACTGCATTGCTTAGCCCAGGGTCTCAAATGTTGTGTTTTCTTCAGAGTTATAGTTTTGTCTCTTACATTTAAGTCTCTGATCCAGATTGAGTTCATTTTTGTATATAGTATATGGTATAGGAGTATTTCATTTCTAGCTGTTTTATCTATTTGGGGAATAGGAATTTAATGGGTTGTTTTGGTTTGTGTGTGTGTGTGTGTGTGTGTGTGTGTTAGTTACTGGGGATTGAATCCAAGGGTGCTTTCCCATTGTCTCACTGGACTACATCCTCAGCACCCCCCACACACTTTTTTGAGGTATAGTTTTGCTAAGTTGCTCAGGCTGTCCTTGAACTTGCAATTCTCCTGCCTCAGTCTTCCAAGCTGCTGGAGGTGTTTGTCACCATGCCTGGCTATAATCTTACTTTTAAAGCGTTAAGAAAATATAGGCTCATCTACCTATGATAGGCCTTTTCTTTTGACCAGTGGTTCTGTCCTGCCATCGCCATGCGCTTTTGAGGTCATCACCACAGGGACCCCAAGGCCTGGCTCTTCAGTGTTATTAGGGATGTAATTACTGTAGAAAAGGTAATGTGGTCACCACTTGTTCAGTTGCACTCTGATGATACAATAGGTGTACAGAATATTCTGGTTAATTAAAACTTCTGAGTTTTAGTTGTCAGAACATTTGAATGTTTTTGAAATTTTGAGAATCAATATATGTAAGCCTCTTAGCTAGCAAATAATAGGAAGTAATTCAAACATATCCGAACATCAGAAATGTACCTTTGGAACGAAGTGCCATCTTCAGAATACACAGTAGTAGTTGCTGTTTTTCTCACTGTGCCATTGCAGGTTTGTTTGAAATACAACAATGTCCAAGAGGAAAACACTGCAACTTTCTTCATGTATTCAGAAATCCCAACAATGAATTTTGGGAAGCTAATAGAGACATCTACCTGTCTCCGGATCGGACTGGCTCCTCCTTTGGTAAGAACTCAGAGAGGAGGGAGAGGATGGGCCACCACGAAGAATACTATGGCAGGAGGAGGAGAAGAAGCCCTAGTGCTGACCACAAGTACAAGAGAAATGGGGAGTCTGAGAGGAAGAGGAGAAGTGCACACAGGGCGAAGAAATCTCACAAACACATGACAAAGAGTCGTGAGAGGCACAATTCTCGAAGCAGAGGAAGAAAAAGAGACCGAAGCAGGGGCAGGGGCAGCCAGAGCCGGAGCCATAGAAGCCGAAGGAGCCACAGGAGCCAGAGCCGGAGTCGGAGCCGCAGGAGCCGGAGCAGGAGCAGGAGCAGGAGCCGGAGCCGGAGCCGAAGTCGGAGCAGGAGCAGGAGCAGAAGGAGCAGGAGCAGAAAAAGCAGGAGCCGGAGCCGGAGCCGGAGCCGGAGCCAGAGCCAGAGCAGGAGCGGGAGTAAGAGCCGGAGCCGGAGCCGGAGTAAGAGCCAGAGCCAGAGCCAGAGCCAGAGCCAGAGCCAGAGCCAGAGCTCATCTAGATCCAGGAGTTGTGGTGGGAGGAGGTCAGGTAGTAGAGACAGAACGATTCAGAGTCCCAAATCCAAATAAACCTATTTTATTCTTCAATGGTTGCGTATCTTACTTATTATGGATACTACATTCTTGGATAGAGGACTGTGTGCTCAGATGGGTTCCCAAGTCTGACAAAAGCCTATATAACCTGGAATCCTATTTTAAAATATTTTAACTCTTTGATAATCACAAACTTGTGTTTAGTATAGAAAATCTAATAATATGAAAATTACTTATAACTCTTACCCTGAGAGATTATTAACCCAGGAGCATTGCATTTTCTTTTTTCCTCCTCTTATGAGCATCTACACATTTTATTTTATATACACATATATAAAATTATTTATGTGTGTGTGTGTTTACACCACACACACACACATACACACATATAATTATTTTTTTTTTGGGGGGGGGTGTACTGGAGATTGAATCCAAGGGCATTTAACCACTAAGCCACATCCCCAGCCCTTTTATTATGAGAAGGCATCTTGCTAAGTTGCTTAGGGACTCACTAAATTGCTAAGGCTAGCTTTGCACTCAGATCTTCCTGTCTCAGCCTCTTGAGCCACTGGGTACACATATTTTTTTTTATTCAAAGATTATATATAGCTCTAGTTGAATGTTTTCCACAAGAAACATCACATTTCATCAAGCCCACTTGTCATTTTTATACACTGCACAGTGGGCATCTACCAGTTTATGTACCCATATCCCTATTGTTGGATTTTTAATTTTGTACCATTCAAGAATCCTGTGCTGAAAACAATCCTGTGATGGATTTCTTTAATTAATCCCACATATTTCTAATCATATTCTTAGGATAAATTACATCAAAGAAGACAAGTATTATATTTTCAAATTGCCTTCCAGAAAGACTACAAAACATTTACTCTAGCAATAATAGGCTCTGCTGCTCTCACAACACTAAGTTATTTTAATCTTTGTCAATTTGGTAAATTTTAAATATTTGTTTCTGTACATATTGATTAAAGCAAACATTTTTTTCTTCTGTATTTAATGGCCATTTTATTTGCCTTTTAAAAATAATCTATTGGATTTTTCTGTATGCAAAAGCTGAATGGCTTTTTTTGCTTTAAAATTCATTTTGTCAGTTTTAAAGTAGTAAAGGATAAAGTACATTTCCCCCTTCCTACCACATATCTGTAGTACCTCTTCAGTTGGGAATTTTCTATCAAGGTGTATATCTTTTTTTTTTTTTTTAAGTTCTTTAGGTATAATGCTTATCTTTGTCATTTTCGGGAAAATCAGTAATTGCTACAGAATATGCCTAGTGTCAAAACAATTCTAGAATAGAAACCATAGAAGAGAGGTCAGGGAAGAAAACCTAATGTATAAAAAGCTTCAGGAACATTATCCTTAGATTTCAGATCATAAATAAGAAAAGATGCTCTCATGCCTTTCTATAAATTTTTTAGAACTATTTTTCAATTGACATACTTTGGATCTTGAATTTCAGGGTATGTAGCACTTAGAAATTTAAGATTTGGGGATAAGAACTTAAAGATACACCAAATCCTGAAAAGCTAAAACAAAAAACTGAAACAGCCAAACTTTTGAAAGAATCAGATTTTTGCATGATATTCTTTGATTTCTGTAATCTGGTAGTTAATAAAAGTAGTATGTGGTTGAGAATAATTTCACTTTAAAGAATCTGACTTGTTCCACTGTAAATGCCTGCTTTAATCTAAAAATGATTGAAATTTTCTTTATTTTTTAATAGTTTTCTAACTACAGACATGCTTACACAGTTGGGGGTGGGGGTGGGTTTTGCTGGGGATTGAGCCCTGGTAGGACCTCAAGCATGCTAGGCGAATACCATTTAAGTTATATCCCTTCTTGAGTTCAAGATGACTTGAGATGAAAAAACAATTTTTTCTCTTTCCATTCTGAGGATTGAACCTAGGGATGCTTTGCCACTGAGCTACATCCCTAGCCCTTTAAAAAAAAACTTGAGACACATTCTAAGTTGCCAGAGTCTGGCCTTGAACTTGCAATCCTCTTGCCCCAACTGCCCAAATCCCTGTTTACAGGTGTGTGCTGCCACCACATTCAGCTTCCCTTGAATGTTAACAAGCAGTAAGGGAGAGAAAGGAAGTTTATAACTTCTGACTGGTTCATTACCCTGATAAAAATCCATCTGGAGATTAATATATTATTAAGGTATTATATGCATAACCTGATTACTATTTGTGACTCAAAAGCTCCAACTCTACATTGTTGGCAGAAGCCCATAGGCTTTTTACTGAATAGCTGCATTGACTGAGGTGCTTCAGACCTATGTCTTTTTAGTAGACTAGCCACTTAATTTAATGGAATCATTTCCTTGTTCTTAAAAATCCCAGCTTTAGAATGTAATATTTCCTGGGGCTGGAGTGGTGGCTCAGTGGTAAAACGCTTGCCTAGCATGCATGAGGCACTGGGCTTGATTCTCAGCACTGTATATAAATAAATAAAGGTCCATTAACTAAAAAAAAAAAAAAAAAAAAGAATGTAACATTTCCTATCTACAGTAATAGAAAGTCCATAGCTCCCTCCCCACCCCACAACCTGGGGATTGAGTCCAGGGCTTCATGCATGATAGGCAGGTGCTCTACATCTCCAGCCCAGGAGGCCCTTTTACTATTATGATAACCAAAGTGGATTTGCTGCTTACATTAGGTAGCACAGTCTGCAAATATCAGTCCAATTTTGTTGCATGTGCCAGTATATGGAAGATGAGAGTTTTCAGATAATTTGGAATACCTTTCGATGACCTGGAATAATTTCGAGTTGTTCATTCAGAGAGTAGAAAAGTCAACTGCGTCAAGGTTTTCAAAGCGGCATTTATTGATTGAAAATAAATGTGTTGGTAAGCTCTTGGTAGCATGGAATCCATGTTACTTTTCAATGAACTTGAAGTACATGAAGACTCCATAAATCATCACCATTTTTTCTTGTGTGTGCTTATAAACCCACCACCACATTCAAATGGGGGGGGGGGACAGTCAAATGAAGGGAAATTTTCAACATTTTACTGGGAAAAAAAATCTTCCTTCAGCAGCTTGCCAGTTTGATACACTTTTGGAAAAAGATAAAAACACACTATGGTGTTTGTATGTCGAACATTTATTACAGCTAATTGGCAATGTGATAAGACAGTGCTCACATGGCCTGATGTTGGTCACAATTACAACAAAGCTTAATCCAGCCCAGCATATACAAGTGAAAGTGTAAACCACAGACATGTTTAGATATGTATATGTATAAAAGTGATGCTGAACAATTATATAAGCTTTAAAAAATATAGGGCCACCTAATGCCATTTTACTTCAACTCTCACTGTTAAATGAAAGGTGTCTTTTAAAGATTTTTATACTTCTGATAACTAGGTAGTGCCATGGAAGGAAAGGAAGCTTCTGTAAAGTTTGCAGTACTTCTAATTAGAAGGAAGCAAAGGGAACCAAAATAAACTCAGCTTGAACAAGAACCCCAGAAGGAACATTCATGCTTTAAACAATGACTTTACGCAACACTGTGAAGAGGGCAATGTTTCTGTAAGATACTGTTATGAAGAACTGATAAACTAACATTTCTACTTCATTTGGGGGGCATCAAAAACAATCTGAGTAACTAAATGATTATGACCACCAAAAAAAAAAAAAATCATCTCAGGGTTCAAATGTGCCTTAGCCTTAAAAATTATGTGCTATTATAAAGCAATCTTTGTTCCTTGTCCCATTCATTCAGAATGCTTAGTTATTAATTTTAAATGACATCTTCCAATTTAGTCATCTAAAATAATCTGTATTCCCTTTATTTTAAGGTATGTAGTGTCCAATAGGGTTCTTTGGTATAAATTTGTTTTTGTTTAAGTTTCAACAATTAAATTTTCATTCATTCAATATGTGACATGTTGATTCCCTTATTTTTACCATATATACGGAAATGCTGCACTCATCTTTGGTTTCGTAAAACCAGGTTTCACATTATAATTTAACCTTCCTTTGTCAAGTACAGTAATTAACAAATGTACACTGCCGAATTGTTTGATAGATATTGCTTGTACAGAGATGTGTCATTTTCATATATGCACATAATCAGTTATGAGAAATAGACCTATAAATTTGAGAAATCCAAGAAAAGTACTTTATGCATATTTCTAATCCAAATTTAAGTCCCTTTCATTCAATTGATCAAAGTTCCCTTTAAAAAAAAATGTAGGCCTGAATGAAGCAGCTTAGCAAAACAGTAATACTGACAAGACATCATCTTACACCATTAGCTAACATGGACATGAAGGCAGTGACCATATACAGTGTGTGAAATGTCACAAGAAGTCATCAACAAGGGAGGAGAGTTATGTCAGTCCAATTTCTTCAAGAACACTACGTGGGGTCTCAGCTTCCTGTGGAGGAAAAACGTGAGACTCTGGTAAGCAGATCCAGGGAGGGAGTCTTAAAAATGTGAAAAACTGACATAAAGGGCATGCACATTTTACAGAAGAAATTCAGTGTTACAGGAGCATTCTACTAGTGACAGCCAGTGGTTATCTAGGGATTTATGCCCATATCATTGGCGACCACAGGATGTTCTCGGCATTCATTAAATACCAACTGATTACATACTAATGTGCTCGGTACCGTTGCCATAACACAAAAAGCAGTCAAGCTCAATGGAAGCTCACTAGCAATGTATGAAATTGCTGCTACTCAATCATATACAGGAAAGATTAACTTACTTTTATAATTCAAATAAAAAGCAGGACCCGCCCCCACCAAGTCCTGAGTTCCTACAATGCTTCACCTAGTGTTTTCCATGCTTTTTTGTCACATACTGAAAAAACACTCTGGAACTAAAGACTCTTTGTCTTATGTAACAACCAATACTTGTTTTTAAATGTTAAAGGTAGACAAAGCAGCCATATGTAGAAAAAGTACTTCAAAATTTTCCAAAGGGGCATAAAAAAGGACCAAGTAGGTCAACTTTCAGGTATTATTATCAATTTTGTAATTAAAAGGTCACACAATATTTTAAGAGGATAACTGTAAATTTTT